CAAAAAAAAAAACAATAAAAAAAACAAATAAACTTAAAACACTTTGAAATTAGCAAGAGCTTGAACTTACCAGTTTCTTCATTTGTTCGGGCTGCTCCTTTAGTTGATTTTCAAGCTTTTCCAAATCAAATTGGCCAAAGGAAGGTCAAATGTGTTTACATCTGGAATTTTATCACGTCTGTTTTGGTTTTGTGAAAATCAGGCCCAGCTGCTGCTTTATGACGTTGCATGATTTTAAAACTTCAGTCAGTCGTGCTAAAAAAGAAAAACAGATTAGTATAAATCAACCTGTAGCTTATTCTCATACAACTTCTGTAAATACAACAGTGGGTTAGACACTGCTGATATTCTCTAGTTGATCTTTACTTTCTAGCTGCATTAAACCATAACAAATGTAGTGATGTCTTCAATTCTTACAAAGACATCACGAGATGCAATAAGTTATGTCTTGATCTCAAACTGCACTAGTCTGTCTTGATCTCAAACTGCACTAGAACAAAGACTGTAAATGTTCATAGGTGTACTGCAAGAGTGTCCAAACTTTTTGGGCCGAGAGATGTTTTTTGGGCTGCAGATGGCCCGCGGGCCGTAGTTTGGACACGCCTGGTGTACTGGAATGTACAGTATCTGTGCATCTTGATGGTGGTCTTAAGATTTCTGCCATAGTCATTGATGGTGATGGTACTTGTGGTGCTGCATTGATTTCTGAAATCTTCATACCTGCCTTTTATCCAGCCTCTTTGTTCAAAGTAATTTTTCTTCATCATGGTATAGATGCGTCTATACTGTCCCTTGATCAGATACATTTACAAAACAAAACATCACTTTAGTATAGTGCCAGGGCAAAACTCACAGGTTGTAATAGATCAATGACAATGTTGACAGTATGTGTTTAAAATAATTGCAAACAAACCTGTTCTGTCTTTAGATGTATGACAGGCAATCATCGTCCTCATCTGTTTACCAGTCAGAAATCACAGTTGCGTGTGGATGTTTTAGTCGAGCTTCCTCATATGCATCTATAATAAAACATCACATTGTTGTTAACCTCCCGTAAAGAAAAGTTCAAATCCTGAAATACTATCAAAGTTAATTAATGCATATAATACCTATAGTGTAAATAATCAGTACACAGAAGGTTGCACAAGATTTATTCGGAGATTCATGCAGAGTGACAGCCTTATAAATCTGAGACATAGATTTGTAAGATGGCCAAGCACATGCATTATTCTGTACCCATGAAGATTAACCTACCATTGTGAAAAATGTTTGATGATGATAGCCAATAACAATAAACCGTTTCAGCTGTTTGTGAAGCAATTAGTAATGTAATGTCTGAAAAGCTCAATCTATGTTGAAAATATATCAGCAGTTTACAGCTTATAATGGACTTTTAGCACACAACTATAGCATGCCTATTCACGTTCAAAAGAGTGTGCCATTGACTTCTTTGGTCGTGATGTACTGCAAAATGATCTCACTAACCTTTGTTAAACAAGAACAATAAGACTTAACCAACAAATATTGTTACCCATTCATTTAAATCAGAATTTATCACCGTCAATTACATAAAAAACAAACAAAAAACATCAAAATCTGCTTTAAGACGTTCAGTTTTACATTAACTGACCATTACAGCTTGAACAAAAGATATAATTGATTCACATAGGCTAACACATATGAATTAAAGTGCATAGTAATATATTTCTCTTGGATAGTTTAAAGAGAATAGTAAACAGTCGAGTTTCGATCACTTTTCGTGACTAACTGCATAAACAAGATAAACAATAATATTTTATTAATCCAAAACGATTAGTTTTTATTTACACAATCACATAATTAATACTGTTGGATAAGTATACGCCTGTACAATGATTTTTTTCAACATCCACGGTACTTTATAAGGTTAAATCAGGAAAAAAACACGTTGCCATGTTAGTTAATGGATTCGTCTACAGAAACTTTCTTTAACGCAAAGTTAGCATACACACAAATTCGTTTCATGTTTCTTTAAAATAATTAAAATAGTTTTCAGTTACTACACACGTTACAATCTAACATTGTGTTAAAGGAAAATGAACTTTCAGGCGTGTTTGTAACTGTTAGCGTTAGCATACATTAGCTCCAGTCGTGTTTCTTAAAGCAAGTTACATTTCGTATCAAACTGTTTTAAATTACTAAACGCTGTTACAACCAAACACCGTGGAAATGTTTTAAGCTCTAAATTCGCTAATTATACAGAACACAAGCAGTAAAAAGCTTACCTTTCTGACCGGAATTCACGTGAAGTCTTTAAAAAAAAAAACTTTTTCTTCTTGTGATCTTCGTGCCATGGTGGTTGACAACCAGCTTTTTGGAGCATTACCGCCACCGTCTGGATTGGAGTGTGGATCATGAGTTTAGTCACGCATGTGTTTATTATGAAACCAACTTCTGCTTTAAAACAAAAACTGTCAGCACAGGAGCGTGCTATCTCAAAAATAAGCGAATTTTACATAGTTTTTCTCTAGATGACATGTATAATCTATTTATAAATAATATTGCTTTGTTTGCGTCTAAACATTGCGAACATCCACACTAAATATTCTTTTTTTTTTTTTTTTTTTGCTATCGTACCATGAATATTTTCTCAAATTATCATTAAACGTGGAGCTAACAGATTACTAGATAAATAAAGGACTTAATCGGTTGCCATCAGCCTTAATCGGTTGCCATATGGTTGACCGGAATCGGGCCAGTGCTTTACAGCCGTATCACAACCGCATGTGCGCGAGCGAGCTGCGGGCCGCACTCGGCCCGGATAACACTCGCCGATGCCGAGTCGGAGCCGGAGGCGCCGGAGGGCAGCCGAGCTCGGGCCGATTACTGCCTGCTATCTGGGGAGTAGACAAAGGAAAGTGAGTGACTGATTTAATGTCTTTGTTCATTTATCAAATTTCTGTTTCAAGTACTGAACAATTTGATTATTTTAATATTTTTTACCATTATTTTACATTTTTATCATTTAATCATGTATTATTTATTACCAACTTCAGTGTTTCCTCTAGGACAGTGGTTCTCAAACGTTTTTCATCAAGTACCACCTCAGAAAAAAATTGTCTTTGCAAGTACCACCATAATGAGCAGTTTTGAAATACAGTAGCGTATTAGGTCTAGTAAAGCAGCTTAAGATCTGTACAGTTCAAAAAAGTAATAACTCCTGTTTTATTAGCACCTGGAAATGTTGCCGGGACCTCATAAATATTATATTATATTTATAATATATAAATATATTATATTATATAACATATAAATATATAAATATTATATTATATTAATGTCATCATATTCGTATATAAATAATTTTTGATAATTTCTTCAAATATTTGTAGTATGTATATTACATATTTGATTCATCCGCGTACCACTAGAAGGAAGCCTGCGTACCACTATTGGTACACAACCACAGTTTGAGAACCACTGCTCTAGGATGTTTTCCAGCTGTGGCGGGAGGCCTTTTTTACACAGATCTACCAACTACCTGTGGCGTTATTTCAATGACAAATGTCGTGAGCGCAGTATTACAAGTCGAGATTGCATTTATGTAATAGCCTATAAACATGCAAATGTCTTTGCTTGTGGGGTTGGGGCACATTGCCTATGATGATTGCCGTGCGTGTGTGTGTAAAGGTGAGAAAACCACATAACTGATGATGATTAGATAAAAATGCAGATGGCGCTTTCAATGGGGCAGATCGAGCCACTGCATTAAACACAACTAAAATTAGTTTAGTATCGTTTTGACAAATAGAAATAATCAATAGTAGCAAAACAAGTCAATCATGTTGGTATATTTTGAAGTACTTTTTAATTACTTTTCCATATAAGCTTGCTGTGAGTGAAGCCAAGGGTTTGGCAGTACAGCGTCAGTGAGAGAGAGCGTGAACTCACAATGATTTCGAGGAACATGACAGTACTTGAGTACTGTACAAAATTAAAACATGAATGAACAATGGAAGGTTTGTTGAAAGACAGACTGAAATGTAAATCTGCAGTATCTGAAATAATTGTCATATATGTCATTTTGTCATGATCACATAACCTACCAGCGTCAGTTGCGTCAATTCACTCCCTTTCATGAATTCTCTTGCTGGGCATCATGGATGAGCGCAGTGCGGATTTGATGTGCACTTCAGAAGCTTGTCAGAAGTAGTAGGTCATCCGGGTACTTCTCGCATACTGATTTTCGAATTCTATAAATTCTGACATACTACTCAGCTTGCATACTGATTTTAGCATACTATATAGTATGGAAGCATGCCGTTTCAGACGCAGCCAGGGAGAACATGCAAACTCCTTATTGTGATGCGACAGTGCTAACCACTAAGCCACTGTGCAGCGTGTGCTTGCTTGGTATAGTTAGGAAAGAAAGACACTTTAAAATACATTAAATATTCTATCATAAATGAGCTGCCATATATATGGATTAATGAAAGTAGTGTTTCTATTTTTGTAGTTTTTGTCATATTAGTGATGCAAAATCCTGTTCATTGATTGAGACAATGCCCTTTTCCTTTTTTTGGATGTGTTCAAAATAATGAAGGCATTCTATTATTAAGTGCATCATTATAATTTTCATTATCCTCTCATTATTTTTAAAATAAAAAGTAACTCAAATAGTCTTACTTCTTTTTTGAGTAAGCGTTACTTTACTCGTTACTTTGAAAAGTAATGTTATTACGTAACTCACGTTACTTATAATGCGCTGGTCACCGTGCTGTAAAACATTGTAAATTTACTTCATTCATTATTTCTGCGCACTATCACACACTTAACACGTTCACTTCCAAGTGCAGCGTTGTTTGGGCTGGTGAGCATCGGGATACAGTTAAATGGGTTTGTGCTCCCTTCGGTGGGGAAATCCTCCGTTGAGTTGCGTCACAATGACGCAAGCCCTGCCGTCTTCAGCTCGCGCGGATAGAGACGGCCATATTTGTGGGAATAAGCGAGCGGAGCGACCCGTGCGATTCTTATGATCCGGTTAACCGCCCGCGTCACTTAGTTTTCACGAGCATTTAATGTCAACCACGACGAAGAAATGCCTGGAGAAATAAACCTCTAGTTACACCATATGATATCTTTTGGCCCCGCGCAGGAGTCCTCGCTCAAAATGGAGGTGCAGAGCGTAAGCAGTGAGGTATGTCACACATATGACCACATTAATGGACTTGTATTGATTATCGGTGTCATCAATTACAGCTTTGTGTGTTTTTGGTGATATGAGCGAGTGTGTCCCTGTTGCGCGGGTGCGCGCACGCAGTGTGGAGACTCGCGTGACGACACCATTAGCTTAAGCCGTTAGCTTGCGATAATGATGTTACTATTCATGAATCCTGCACAAAACTAATGCAAATTACGTTCCCAGAAGCGACACTGTTTGTGTTGTGTGTAAACCACGAGCATGCGAGTGAAATGACTTGGTTATAATGACGATTAGCCTGCGCTTGTTGATCGGATTCACCTTATGAGTCATGACTAAAGCGCACGCACGCGCACTCGCCGAATGTCAAAGTAAACTATATAACGCCACTATCATTTGCTTTCATTTAATTCCAGTCTGTTAGTTACACGTCGATTACACTATCAGCTCCAATCTATGCTCTTTCAAAGATGCGAGATATTAGGAGTTTCTTAAAATCTATATCTGTAAATATCCTGTCTGCTGTCTCTGTTTGTTTTGCTTTCACTACCTGGTATTTATCTATACGTTACGTAAATATTAAATAGACTTACTGTATTTGGACTACTAATATTATGCACTTTAAGTGTTTCTGTCACGCACATCAGTGTTTACATCAAGCTAGACAATAGTTTAAACTTTGGCATTTAAAAATATGGATTATAAAGCATCTAGCATCCAAAAATGAGAGTGAGATTTCAGTATTTTGTTCATAGTAGCTACATGACACTGGGCTTTGCTGTGTTTGTTCATTCAAGATCTGTCTCTGTCAGCAGTAAAACATTTTAATCTGTTTTAGGCTACTGGTCCAAGATGTAATAGATGTGATAAGTGCTTTTCCATGATTGAGCTGAACCAGCGACGCCAGATACATTGCACTGTTCAGCATGAGTATGATGTATTTATGGTGACAATTATAATGATTTGTGATTAGTTCTGATGTTTTCACTTTCTTTTTGGTGGAGGAAAATCCTGTCATCATGATGCATGAGTATGTTGTTATTATTTATAGTGAAAAATGAACTTGTTGCACTAAAATTGGTTTCAGAGTTGATGTGGAGCATTTATCAAAAACTGAGTCACTTCAGTCACTATTAGTGAGCTGTAAACATGAATAAACAGTGCAGAACTATGAAACACAATGCATAGTAAGCCATTTCATTACAAAAAAAATCAATCGCAATCTGTAAATATTACGACAAAATAAAGCTTTTAACATTTAACTTCCATCTTCCATAGGATTACATAAATTTTACATTGAATATTGATTAATTCTTTGCATTGTTCATTAATTACTTGCATGCAGCTAAAAAATATATAGCAGTGGTAACGTAGTCAGCTCAATTTGTGTTAAATTATTATTTTGGGGCGTCACAGTGGCGCAGTGGGTAGCACGATTGCTCACAGCAAGATGGTCGCTGGCTCAAGCCCTGGCAGGTCAGTTGGCGTTTCTGTGTGGAGTTTGCATGTTCTCCCTGTGTTTGCGTGGGTTTCCTCCCGGTGCTCCAGTTTCCCCCACAGTCCAAAGGCATGTGGTATAGGTGAATTGAAAAAGCTAAATCGGCTGTAGTGTATGAGTGTGAATGCATGATTGTATGGGTGTTTACCAGTGTTGGGTTGCTGCTGGAAGGGCATCGTCTGTGTAAAGCATATGCTTGATAAGTTGGTGGTTCATTCCGCTGTGCTGTGGCAACCCCTGATGAATAAAGGGACTAAGCTGAAAAGAAAATAAACGAATAAGTGAATATTTTGTATTGACTAGTAATGGCCTATTAAAAATCAGGTTTTGGATTCTGTGAATGAGTTCAAGCTAACATGACTCATGAATTAAATAGCATGAACACTGGGGCGTTTTAAAGCTGCGATTCATCAGAGGATTGCTCTGATGTCAGCGGATAACAGCGTATGGACAATCCAACTGATCGCTGTGACTTTGAAACGCTCCAGTGTCCCTGTATCTGTGTTTACACTCAGTAGACAGCGGTGAGTTTGGTGAACTGATGACCTTTACGACCAGTCACAGTCATTTCTGTTGACCACGTGAACACAACAGCAAATCAGGGCTGTTTAAGAATGTGCTCAAATGTTCGTGGGAAGTGGACGTTTTTTAAATTTCTGTACTGATTGGTTTCGAATTCCAGTATCGTGACAACTAGAGATGCTCATTTCGGTTAATTTTGCTAACCGACAACCGCAGCTCGTTAATCGAATATTACGTGCCCTCATATTACGTGTCCATATTACTTGACGTGCCCCCTGGAGTTTGTTCTCCATTTCAAACTTGTGAAGTCTGAACTTACAAGTAAAGGATGCACAAGATTAAATTTCTGTGGGCTACTTAATAGTGACCTGGAGCAGCAGCATTTTAAAATGAAAACGGCCTCTTCACTGTTTTCAAAAAGCTCAGAAAACGTTTTTAGCGTTCGAAAACTCCGGCGTCGTGTGGATTGACGGCGTAACCGTAGCAAAACTTGTGCATTTTAAAACTAAAACGTATTAGTGTAAACGGGGCCTAAGGGTCGTGCACACATCACTTCTTTTGCACACGCAAGTTCATTATTTCCAATGGAGGTGCGCGGCTTGTGTGTGCATATTAAGAGTGATGCTACGCACTTTCCAACACGCACTTTGAAAACATCAACATTTTTCAGAATGCCACAAGCGCACCATGCGTCACATAACAAAATCTGACCAATCAGCTTCATATACACCTTTCTACTCTGGTCCAAAAATGAAAACAACAAACATTTTTGTAATATAGTTCATCAAAAGTGCCTTCCAGGCAGAGGTTCAACAGCCTTTGACTGCATTTGTTTTCTTTAAAAGGGAAATACTTGCATTACTTAAATACTTTTAGATAGATTTACATTAGACCTAAACTTTTTTTAAATGTATTTTATTTTTATTCATTTTTTTAGTGTTGTGTCATTTATTATTACTTGAGTTTAAATGACCAACACTTTTTTTTCACTAATTTTTAAGTCCAAAGAGAAATAGACTACTGTTTGTTTTTATTATTATTTTATGCTGTATTATTTGGTTACTGAGCAGCAATAAATGACACTTTAAAATGTAAGAAGATTTTCATGTGATTTTTCTAAACTGATAAATTTTAGAATTTAACGAGTGTGGGATATCAGTGAATATTCCTCAGACTATAATCATACATAAAACCTGTAATCATTGCATCCCTAATAAATCTGCCAGAATAATATTTATTTTTTTGCATATAATTTTGGCATCGAGCAACTTTTATTAAAGATTTTTGGCTAGTAAGTGCGGCAGCAATAATATCAGCACTGGTTTGCATATCAGATTTTAGAGAGATTCATTGGAAAAGTTAAAAGTCGCTGAACATTAAAAATCCTAATGTTTTTTTTTTACCCTCAGGTTAATGGGCATCAGATCATGGATGAGCCAATGGAGGAGGAGTCCTACACACACTGTGTGAGTAATTGTGTAAAATACTTCTGCGCATCCAGTGAACTCTCTGTCTTAAGAGTATTGTGTTCATTTTGAAAGGCTGATACTTGCCAGGCTGATACAGAGCTAATATTAGTCTATATAAGGCTACAGACACAAGCTGTCACATTCGGGGTTTGGGGAAAAGGAGCGAGGACTTGGGTGCAGTAAAAAATGGGTGTTTATTAATAATAAAGTAAAATAAAAGGCAAAACAAACTACCCTTAGGGGGGTAACATTAATGAAACAAATAAACAATCAAAACAAGACTAGACTGGGAAGGACTGGAGGACAGGCAGGAAACGATGACGAACTGGCACAAGACAGCAGACATGAGGAGAATATAAGCAGAAATAAATTAACAAACAAACAGGTTAACATAATTAACTAATAATTCGTTAACAAGGAGTGTGGGACTAGACAATAGACGGGAGAGCACATGACACAAAGAAACAACACAACCCATGTACTCGCATAAAACGAGACTAGAACCCGCAGCCAATGAGAGAGCTCATTAACCGCGTGTTCACAAAACAGCACATAAGCAAAACACGTCATGACAGCCCCCACTTTCGGTACAGGTCATCTTCAAAAGATGCATCATAATGGGCGTGGAGCTCCGCGAGCAAATGGCAGGAGTGGGCGTGGCCAGCAGGGGAGAAGGAGGGGAGCGAACAGTCAGCCAGCCAGTCAGTCAGCTCACAAAATGAGACAAACCGTGAGGAGACGCATGATTTTATAGTTTACAAAGTTAAAATGCAAAGAAATAAACAGTAATTTAATGCCCTGCTATATTTGTCATTTGTAATTTCATATCCAGATAACCACAATTTATATCATTATAAAGATGATCGTGTTCATATAAACACTATAAATCAGGACTTCTCCCTCAATCCCGGGGTCTGAATGCAGACTCAGTGCAGCAGGTCTCTTGCCCTGTCTATTTTAATCATTAGCCCTGCTGGTAATCTAGAGGATTTAGGCAAACACAGCAGCACGGCGATGTGTGTAAATGTGAACGAACTCCTGATAAAAGACAAAGTCCACCATTCTCCAATACTCGCACTGCTCTCCCGACAAAAATGCTTGCTGCACACAAACAGCTTTGCTGTATCGGCCCTGACAGCATTGTGGGGAAAAACATGCTACAAGTCCTGTGGATCATAGAAACAAACACATATGACCCTTCATGAACAGCTAAATACTGTGTGCCGTGGGTCCGTGTCTAACAGCTTGGCACTGGCAGGTCTGCCTTTCCTTCGGAAAGCACGTGCAGTCATGAATAATTAAGAAGCCGGTTCTCCTCATAGGATAAGAAAACTCCGCTTTGAATAATAATGAAAAACCAACGCATCATCTTTGCACTTGCAGTTTTGCGCCACGTCGCAGATTTTGATCCCGCCCCAAAAATCATTTTTAACCCAGAAGCTGAAATTAGCTGACAAAAGCTCCAAATTATCTAGTTTTTCCCACAATTAAAGCTAACAAGTGCTAACATTATCTCAACTGATGCTCAACACACACAAATCTGTTCAAATCTCAAAAAAAGTACTCAAGGGTTTTGTGAACCTTTAAAGCACACCACAAAAGCACGCGGCCACAATGTAAACATTCAGCCACGTGCTTAAACAACACCAACAGACGCAAGACACGAGCACACGATAGATGAAAACACCTTACCGTGCGCTCACACATATGCAGCATGCATGGTTCATCTCAGCGCCAACCAAAACTGAAACCAACGAGACGGAGAGGCTGAGAATGAAACAGCGCAATGCCGAAAGAGCAAAACACAAACATGAGTACAAGAGCGCGTGTTGCAAGGAAGCACAGACCCCGACGTTGGCACCCATACAGAGATACACAATGACAGAAAACAAGTGCTCGACCTGAGAAAAGTCAAGCTGAGCACCACATACAGGACAAGACAGAGCTAGTGTCTGGACTCTGCCACCAAAAACAAGAATTTACAAGAGTTGCAGAACCCTGACACAAGCAACTAATTCAGAAATAATAATGAAGAAGCACATAACCGTATGTTTCTGACAATCTTGTTGATATAAAGGAGATTAGCAGGAGGTATCTACATTTTAGAGCTGCAAACTTTATAATCTGTTGTTACATTATATTGTCAATGTTTGGCATTTTTATCGAAATATTTGTAAGTTATCTGGTTGCTATGTCAACAGAAGTTGTAACTAGGGTTGCACAATACTAGTAATAAATGCGCTGTCATTGTTGAGTATCGCGATTAACAGTAATTCTTCTGATATATAATTTTTCCGTATCCTAGGAAAACTATTTTTATTAGCTAATTCATTCTAATTTAGACAAAAAAACAGTCAAGGTGCTCTGATTGGCTGTTGTCATTGTCTTCTCTTGCCTAATTCGCTTGTTAAGTGTGACATTACGCAGAGAGGCTTCCAGGTCTAAGTGCTATATCAAACTGTATGGGGAGACTCATTAAATGGTAATAATAAACATTTACAAAGCAATGTAATACTTTTGAAAATCATGATCGCAATAAATATATCCATGCCTAGTATCCAATGGCCATAAAGTTATGGATATTTTTTATAAATAGTTAAAATTTTGGTAATAGTAAATAGTAAGGCCCCATCTGATTGGTCAATATCACATAAACAAACAATGCATGTAAATGTAATGTCTGCAATAGCTAAATTGCAGATTTGATTAGCACAGCAATGATAAATTTTGCAATATATAGCAGATATATGTGTGTGTGTGTGTGTGTGTGTGTGTGTGTGTGTGTGTGTGTGTGTGTGTGTGTGTGTGTGTGTGTGTGTGTGTGTGTGTGTGTGTGTGTGTGTGTGTGTGTGTGTGTGTGTGTGTGTGTGTGTGTGTGTGTGTGTGTGTGTGTATATATATATATATGTGTGTGTGTGTGTGTGTGTGTGTGTGTATACATATATATATATATATATATATATATATATATATATATATATATATACATATACATATATATATATATATATATATATATATATATATATATATATATATATATATATATATATATATACATATACATACATTGCGGTTTTGACTCTCAAGTAACCATTTATGGGAAAATACTGGATATATATTCTCCTAAAAATACAGAGATATGATTTTTTGCTTATATCGCCCAGCCCTAATGAAGATGTTGGACTGAAGCAGCTCATATTGATTTACAGTGAGGAAGGGCAGAGGGTTGCTAAAGAACTACTGAGGGATTTCAGCTTCTGTCTGGGCTTTCCATGCCTTTCTACACCTCCCTTTCTTCATGTGTTCAATACTTTTTCCCTGCGCCATTTCACTGCATTACACATAACTTCATTTGTAAACTATTTAGATTTGTTTTCTTTGCATATATGGATTTATTTGGTTGTCACCAACATCTTGGGAAAATTAAGTCAACAGCACTTTTAGAAATGTATTTACTGAGAAAAATGGTGACGTGTTCAATACTTATTTCCCCCACTGTATATTATGTATAGCTAGAGTTTTTATTTCCATTTACTTTGTTGTTGTTTTTTTCAAACATTACAAAAAAAATGTTTGAGACTTAATATTTAAGTGAACTTTTGCATCTTAGCTGATAAACTATTTTGGACTAATATCTTGAACTGCTGGCATATGTGCATCTGATGTGCGACGTCTACAAGTTGTCTTCACTTCAAATTTAAATATCTAAAAATTCAGTGGACCTCAAATCTAATGAAGACAAATGGCCACAATTAATAATGCTTGTTCATTATTTAACAAAAGTAAGTATTGCATGTCTGTGTTTGTGTGTGCAGGATGAGGGAGCTTATAAAGAGATTCCCATCACTCATCATGTGAAGGAGGGCTGCGAGAAGGCCGATCCCAGCCAGTTTGAGCTGCTCAAGGTTTTGGGACAAGGCTCCTTTGGGAAGGTCTCTGATTCTTTTTTTTACTTTATATGTGTTTGTGACTGTGCTGTAGTGGTATGCATATTCATGGTTTTACAGGGTTTTAAAACTGTTTTGAATTTTTTTTTTTTTTTGTAAATGCAATGGCTGCAACTTTATTTTCTAACAAATTCACTGATTGAAAATCAAAACAAGATAATTATTGTAAAAATATGCTGAAATGGGCTTCATGCACCAATCATTCTTACAAACATTAGATAGAGTCAAGATTAATTAAATATCACGTTTAACAACTATAGTGAGACGCGATCCTACAGCACATCCTTGATAAACTGTCCGACCTGCACTGCTCTCTGGAGCTCAGACGAGTGCATGAAAGTGTGTGTGTGTGTGTGGTCACGTGATATGCATTTTCATAGGATGAAGGGCTGTTCAGAAATGCTAGGTAAAACACAGGGTTTACGTTCTAAAATGGCACATTAGTGTAATCGGCTCCTAAGTGTGTATTTTTCGCGAGCGGGTTTGCGATGGGGGCGGGGTGGAGGATCGGCGATGCCGGCTCAGCATCGTGTGGTCATTTGGCCATCGGCCCAGCCCTAAGAGAGACCCCCGCCCTCTATACATGATAAATGTGCTTTATAAAATACACATTACATTACATCAAAACATTACATGCGGTTCTGTTCCTTCTAGAAAAACTTGGCTATCGTGCTCTTTTAAGGGTTGTTAAAACCTGGTCAATTCATGTGTCTTTATTCTGATTGGACAGCCATTCCATCCTGAACAGGGCCGGTATGCATGAAATGCATTCGAGGCAGATATCAATCCGATCGCTGAAACAACTTCAGGTTGTGGTCTGCGATGCACATTACACTCTTTCCAAAATGTAAACATTCATTCATTTTCTTGTCGGCTTAGTCTCTTTATTAATCCGGGGTCGCCACAGCGGAATCAGCAGATCAGCCGCAACCCATCTCTGGGAAACATCCACACACACATTCACACGCACACACTCATACACTACGGACAATTTAGCCTACCCAATTCACCTGTACTGCATGTCTTTGGACTGTAGGGGAAACCGGAGCACCCGGAGGAAACCCACGCGAACGCAGGGGGTACATGCAAACTCCGCACAGAAACGCCATCTGAGCCGAGGCTCGAACCAGCGACCTTCTTGCTGTGAGGCAACAGTACTACCTACTGCGCCACTACTTCGCCAAAATGTAAACAAAAAACATGTGAGATCATGTTATATTCAGATATAACTATGCCCACGGGATCTGCGTTCGCAGAAATCTGCAGATTTTTAGCTCATTATTGAGTCTATTTATTTACTTGTTTGTGTAAATTTATATTTATTCAGTTTTCAATTATTTTCAGTTATATTGTTGACTAATATGAAAATGTTCATCTGATTTATTTACAGTGCAGTTTGTAAAGTAATATTTTGTCTTTTAGTAGATATTATATGTGAGACTTGCTTTGTTTACCAAATAATGGCTCTAATTGGATTTGCATTGTAAACATTAAATAGAAGTTAAAGTATTATTTTTAAATTTAATATGTTAAGTTTTTAGTTATGATACTCCCAAAGAATATTCCACATAAATCTTTAAATTTTACAAAATTCTGCACAGAAATGGCAAAAAAATGTCCGCAGATTCTGTATGGCCCTAGATCATACCTGTCAACATTGGGATGTGAAAATAAGGGATATGCCCACCATAATAAGGGATTCCCCCAACAACCACCACCCCCCTCCCTTAAAAAAATCCCCAAATTACTAAATATGTTCATTTGGAGCTGTTTCATTGTAAATAAACAGTTAAATGGTCAGTAATATGTTTTAAAATTAATATTAACAAAAGAAAAATAAATATTTACATTAACAGCAAATACATTAGCAAACAGCTCAGCTTATTAAAATTAATAGCTATTATAATAAAATAGAATCAAGCTATCATTCTCAATCTGTTTCTCCACTTTATAACGTAAACATTCTGATTAAAGAGCAATGAATGAATCTCTCATTTATTATTATTATATTAATATTATTATATTTATTAAGATTTTTTATTTAAATAAGAGGTGTCTTTTTAAAAATGCACACATCTAATGTTACAATGAAAGCATTCGACTGCTTTTTTTTTACTTTTTATGCTCATTTAAGACAAAATTAGTTGTGTTTGGGGAAAAAAACCCACCAAGATCAACATGTTTATATGTTATTATTATTAATTATGTGTGTATGTGTTTAAACACGCACCCAAAAGCCAGACTTTCTCTCCGCTTCAAACCGCGAGTACAGAATCCGTTTGGCAAACAGTGTCTATTTATCACTATAGAGCACGTCAGCTGACAGTCATGCACCATTATATGACTGTTTTGTGGATTGTACAGGATGGGCGACGGCACCTGTAAGCAAAAATAAATGAAATCGCGCCGTTTTTAATATTTATTTATAAGCGTTCATTCCTAAACTAAGCAAAAGCGCAGAAGGCTCACGTTTTAGAGCAAGGGGCGACCCCTGGTGGTTCGGCGGTATGGGTTGCGTATAGGGAAGATCGGCTGTTCAGAGATAGACTGGAAATACAGGAAAATACCTTCACGGGATGATAGCGCGATAGAACAGTAAAATACGAGAGAATCTCGGGAAAAATGGGAGGATTGACAGGTATGCCCTAGATATAACTAAATGCAAAATGCAACAGTGATGCCACAGATGACAGTTACTTTTGTTAATTTGCATTCTTAAAATTAGGATGTTATTATCAAATGGCAGCACTGGCAACAGATACACATCATGCACCTGCGATACCTCTTTAAATGGAAAGGAAGGACAAATCTTAAGCACTAATGAATGAAAATTCTTAAGAACATAATAATGAATGAAGCCCAATATACACATTTCTTTCATTACCACTCAGGTATGATTGAAAATGCTTAAACTAGCTTAAATTAATTATTTTAAACTTGAATTAAATGTTCTGAATGAAAAGGTGAATGAAGTCAGCATTTTCACTAGTGGCCTGTCTTGTATATTAGTCTGTAGTAGTAAATAGAACTATAGTAATGCTATTGGAAGCTGTGTAAAACAATTGCTGGATTAGTTGGTGGTTCATTCTGCTGTAGTGACCCCTAATGAATAAAGCTGAAAGAAAATGAATGAATGAATGAATGAATGAATGTCTTAATTTGTGTGTTTCAAAACTGAATGCGAGATGTCATTTAACAACTGCTCAATATTTAATGTGACATAAGGTGTTTTTAAGTTTCTGTTCTCTAGAAAACGCATAAACAAAATTACCGCTGGAGAAGAACAGAGTTTTAGTTTGCTCAGATATGTGTGAAAATGTGACTCATGGTCACTAAACATGTAATGGAAAGATGCTGCAGAATTCTGGCCAAGACTTGTTGCTTATGTCCGTTTATAAGAAGCCTTGACTGTCTTACAGTTTGACACACACACATCTTGTCATGGCTATAGAGCTAAGGACATGTTTGTACAGTCTGACAAGCAGATCCGCTGTCCTGAAGTGTTTAACTTTAACCCTGATGAAACAGGGCTTTCTTTAACTGTCTCGTAATCCTCAAGACCTTTGGCTGCATGATCTGAAAAATTTGGCTCCTGACTTATTGACTCGCTTCTCTGTCAGGTAGTATGTGGACAGACATTTTGGACAGACTTCTATATAATGTATAGCAAAATAATAACTTAAGCATTCAACCGTGTAGTGTAGAGTGCAGTGTCGTCCCAAATGGAACACTAACGTATTGTTTACTAAATGAAAATTCTAACCGTTTCCAGTCGATGTTCAACAGGTGGCAAATTAGGGAAATTAATGCCAAACTATCCAATATTACCTATCATGAGTACAACCATATTCACCATTTTGAGGTGGCAGAATCGTTTATAAAGGAGTATTTTGTAATGGAGTATTTGGAGTATTTTATACTCGAAATAAAGAAATCCATCCTCGAGCCTGATAGCTCCTCCCTTTCCTGTATAAGAGCAAAACTGTTAGCGATGGGGTGCGTGACGTGAGCAACATTTCAAACTTAATTTAAACAATTGAATAATTGAATAAGTGCGTCATCCATCTTTTCAGAATTGCTTTAATTTTTAGTGTGAATGCACTACTATACTCCTACTAATATTTTTAATACAAAATGGCGTAGAAGGGTCTATAAGTATGCAATTTGGGTTGCAATTAAATAATGGGTTATTAGTATAAAAATGTAAGAACTACAAGGTAACACTTTACTTGAGTTTAGAGTTCATAATACTGTAATTAAAATAATCATGAGATTGTATGCATGCTTATAACATTTTAAATGAAAAGTTAACATTATTTGCGCTAGGACCGGGCGATTAATGGAAAAGTAATCAAAATCGACATTCAGAATCTAAAATCGATCAAATTTTTCCAGGTCATTATTTTCAGTTACCTTTTCTAGTTCTTTTTTGACTTCATTTTAGGCAATGTGTGTTTTAATTTAAGTTGTTCAACGTTGATGTTCAATAAATACTCATAGATAGTAGATAGTGTGTGTTTCTTTCAATTATTTTAAAATTAATGCATCCTTCATTTCAAAATCTCTCACTTGTAATATGTTAGCATATTTACTGTACAAAACTTAAAAAAGAAATAAATAAATGAAATAATCGTTCATTAATCGTAATTGAGTTAAAATGTTTCATTAATCAAGATATAGATTTTAGGCTAAATCGCCCAGCCCTTAATTCGAAATGTCTTTATTATGACAACATGACAAACAAATACATCATACATGTGTCATAGTTGTCTTGGACAACTTGACTGTACCAAGAAAGCATAACTGTCTTAATATTGTAACTCTCTTAAAATTGTCATAAGTCTGTCATAAACATGATTGCCCTCAGGCCATTGTAATTGTGTCATGAGTTTTATAATAGCATCATTAATATTTTTTAAAACTTAATTACAGCAGTACAGATTGGATTTGTCATAAAAAATTAATTTAATATTAATGACTTGTCATGATTATAAAGGCTTCATGACGGTTTTATAAACACCCCTTTAAGTAAAGTGATTTCAATGATATTAATGTCTCTAACATTTTATTCACAAGCATAAATGTATATCCTCCCACACAAGCTCTGGCTTCTTCCCTTCCAGTGAGGTGACATTCCATGTCACAAGAGCCAGTTTTTGTGCCCTACGATCAGGTTGTCGTAGTCCTAACCTTTGACCACCACCCATTCCTCAATGCACCGGCCCCTTGTGACTCTTCTTGCAGGTGTTGGACCTGCAGGAGGATGGTCTTTGGGCTGAGCCCAGCCAGGTTTTGTGGAATAAAACCCGTTCAGGCACGTGCATATGAGCCCCAACCAAAGGCCAGGCTCCTGGGTGGAGCCCCAGCTGTGCCATACCGGGCGACGTAACAGTCTTTTTTTGCTCATAAAGGTTTTTTTTTAATATATATGAGTCATCCGGGAGGAGCTTGGAATAGAAGTCAGCTGAGGTGGCTCGGGCTGAGGTGGTTCGGGCAACTGTTTCGGATGCCTTCTGGACGCCTACCTAGGGAGGTGTTCCAGGCGTGTTCCACCAGGAGGAAGCCTCTGGAAAGACCCAGAACACGCTGGAGTGACCATGTCTCTCGGCTGGCTTGGGAACGCCACTGGGTCCCCCCAAAAGAGATGGAGGAAGTGTCTGGGGAAAGGGAAGTCTGGGGTTCTTTCCTGAGACTGTTGCCCCCGTGACCCGGCCCCAGAAAAGCTGAAGAAAATGAAATTAAATGAATTGAAGTAAATATACATTGACCACCAGCTCAACTTTTAGATCCCATGCAGTAGCATCTTGCTCAATTTTTCCAAATAATTTTCCTATTTAAACCTTGATTTTTCTGTAGTTTCATCATGTACTAACTCCTTCAATGGGTGACGTCAGGCGTTGACGAACTGCATTGTATCCGTTGGCGCCACTTCAGTGGCATTGCTCGCAACAGAAGTTGGGAAATTTTCAACTTTTCAAGTGCCAATGGAAGTGTCAGCCAATCAGATCGCTTCATGCAAGTACCCCTGCTCAGACAGTAGCCAATTGCAGACTTATTTTATTGGCTGACGCTGCTATGATGATGTCGTCTGCCCCAACTTGGTCAAGCGTTGACGCTGAAGCCCCGTGTGAATGCACAGTGACAGAAAATGAAAATTTACCATTTTCTAGTCTGAAATGCTTAGGAACTATACCAGGGTTGGCCACCCCAGAACTATACTCTCATTCTGGTGTTTTTTGACATTTTTAAGCAAGATGCTAATTGTCTAATAGATTCAGTGATCTATGCTAAGGTAAAATCAAATGCTCCTACCAGACCCAGATCAGCTGAAAGGATTTAAAATTTGTATAGGTCAACTGTTTGACCCGAGGGAAGATAAATTAGACTTTTTTCCCCAAAAAAGAGGAACATTGCTTTATTATTTTGTTTATAATGTGTTTAGTACCAAAAGTCATGTGTCCATATTTGGTCTTTGGCTTACAACTTACTTTGCAACCTAAATGTGTGGCTCTAGGTAACTAATGTGCTTTTGGCCTGTCATTAAAAGGGTCATATAGATTTGTTTTTACTGTTTTACTACTTCAGAAACATCACAGTGCCATGAAAACAGACCACGTTATGCATTGTGTTATCCAGTGGAGTATTTAATTGGACACTTATTAACTTCAGGTGCTAACTACATGTTGTAAACAATTATTTATGCTGGTGTTAGGAAAATTGTATGTCCAGTTTTTGTATGTCTATTTAAACAGTAATGTAAACTTTCCTCAGGTGTTTTTGGTGCGGAAGTTGATGGGTCCAGATGCCGGCCAGCTTTATGCAATGAAGGTGCTCAAAAAGGCATCTTTAAAAGGTCAGCGAGTGTCTTCATCAGTGTGAGTAGTTAGTCAGCACATTTCCAGTGTTGTTGTTTACCAATGTGTGTTGTCTTGCAGTGAGGGACAGAGTTCGCACTAAAATGGAGAGAGATATTTTGGTGGAGGTCAATCATCCTTTTATTGTGAAGTTGCACTATGGTAAGACTCAATTTGATGGATTTTATAAGTTACACTATGTAATCGTTTACACCAATGTTTTATTGTTTAAGTTTAGCTTTAATTAGTAAAGCAATTTCTATTTTATTCATATTCGTATTTTTATTCATTCGTATTTTATTCATTCAGAAAGATTCTTAAAATACGCATCCATGACCGAAATGTGACCTCTGGTGGACAGTAGCAAACTCTGAAATGAGAAGCAGATTCCTAGTTCCACATGAGGTGGTTATTAAATATTACAAATGTAAACATTAGGTGAGCAGGTTTCGCTGTAAGCTTGTATCCTAACAACATGCTTCATGATGAGATTTGCAGTGATAAGCAATTTGGCCGTCACCAGACGAAACGCAACAAAAATTTAAATGTAGCCATTCAGAAGCATAGAAAAGTGCACTTACTGCACTCCTTCAAAATGGTAAGATTTATAATCTAAATAATACCTGTTAAACCTCTTCAACATTATTCAATTATACATGCTGAATCACTATGTGTTGGTTCTGAGTCAGAACCGAAAACCACCCAGCTATACAGAGTCCATACAGCCTATAACAAGCTGTCTGTATAAACACACATGAGCACCAAGCAAGTGACACACACACACACACACACACACACACACACACACACACACACACACACACACACAGACAGCATCATGCTCTCTCTCTCTCTCACACACACAAACACACACACACACAAAAACACACAAAGAGACAGCACAAAGCTCTCTCATTCAAACACACACACACAGGCAGCAACAAATAAGCTAAACGCAGCATCACGCTGTCTCATTCACACACATACATACGCGTGCTCGCTCAGTCGGGAGCGATATTGTTAGACCGCCCCCTACCATCCAAAATTAAACCAGTTATCGACCACTCCCACGCTTTATTCAGAAATTTGACCCCGGAAATGCAGACCTCTATTGGAAATGGCCATAAAAGCGTACCGTACCAAACCACTCAGTGGAAACAGGGCATTAGTTACTAAAAAACAATCGCTGCCTTTGAAATCATAACATTTGTCTAGCAGGAAATTTGTTTTGGTGTATACCATATGTGTAGTAAACAAACTGTGAACTGATTTTTTTTCACTGTATTTTGAGGTTTCTGTGGAATTCTCTAGGAGTGTTTTCTCAATGTTGTTCTTTGTTTTTTGTCACAGCCTTTCAGACAGAAGGGAAACTCTATTTAATTTTGGATTTTCTCAGGGGTGGGGATGTATTTACTCGTTTATCCAAAGAGGTAAGCATCTTGTGTTCTACAGCTTATCTTTGTTGAGACTAATAGACCAATAAACTTGTACTTCCATTTTCCAACATAAATCAGTCACTTATAAAAATGGCCAAATATTTGACAAAATTATCCCATTTGTTCATTTACAGGTCTTATAAAGCTGTAAATTCTAAATCTAAAACCTATTCACTTTTCTCTCAGAGAAATTTTGGACCATATTAGTTTATACTATTCTATAGTTTTGAGTTTTTACTCTGAAATAACTCAGAATTTCACATTTGGGCTGGTGTCTAACATTATTGTCAATGCTTTGATGTTCACTATTCTGATTTAATTTGAATAAAGTGTCATTGAATATTATTATTAAGCAATTTAACGAATATCGGCTGTTTCTCTACCACTTGAAAAATGGCTAATTATAGCTTAGATGTTTAGGAGTAGGTTTACTAACAGCTTGTGTCAGTGCAAAATGTTTAATTGTTGTTACAGTATTAACAGTTGTTTTATTTGCACCTGACCTTATTGGATATGCATTTGTAGGAGTTTCCCTTTCAAATGCAAGTTTTATAGTAGGAGAGTATTTAAATGAATCCCTTAACATAATTGCTAACATTTGTACACATTAAATAACTGGTATTTTCACATTTGTTTAATGCCAAATAAATTATGTACTATAGACCTTTTTCTTGTAACGCAAAATTACCCATAATGCTTTGCGTGTATGCGCAAGGAGAATGCGAAGAACTTCCGGTCGGCAGCTGATGCGTGTAAACAGTCACATTTGGACAGCTTTGAAACGATAGTTTTAATCTTCTATTTTACCTGCTTTTATCCTCTTTGAACTAATACTGTTGTCTATCAGCACCATCTCCTGGACTGATCATTTAAAGAAATGCGATCTAATAGGATTGAAAACCGCTGCTGTGATGCATTTTCCCCTCGTCGTCAGACGGCATCTTCTGCAGTTTAAATGAAGCCTCGTCATCGCTAAAGTCAACATTTTCTCTTTATTTCAAATATATAACCAGCCCAAACAAATGTAATTCACCAAAATGTTTGACACACACACACATAGCCTGTACTGTGCCACTGACACACTGATTTAATAACTGTGACAAAGTGAAAATATAGGCTAGTGTCATTTCAAAATGACAGAAAAACACAAACCGTGGTAAAAACAACACACGAAATAAAACACAAACGGCTCGCGATTAGAATGAACAGCAAATCAGCCAGCAGAGGATCAATAACGGACTTTTATTGGTCATTTTTGTAAATTGCACGACTTTCATACCTGTTAAGTTTCATGCCAGTACTCTGGTTCTCTCTCTCTCTCTCTCTCTCTCTCTCTCTCTCTCTCTCTCTCTCTCTGTGTGTGCGTGTGTGTTAAAGAGCCGCTGAGCTAACAGCTGACAGGCCGGGAACACACACACAAACTGTATTTCTGACGGCAGACACCTGAACTAGGAGAATGTTTTTCTCATATTTCTGACGCGATTGAACCACATGTGACAGATTATAACGGCTTTAACAGACACATTTCTAAGTTGTGTCACAAAAACACTCTTATCCATTAAAAAGATTATTGAAACCCATTTTCAGAGCGCAAATTGCCAGTTGTACACGCTGTAAACGGAAGTTTTTAGCATTCTACCGGAAGACGCTGGTCGCTATGGCGCCCTCCATGCAGCAGCCATGAAAAAGGTCTATACTATTAATGTGCTTGTAGAGTTAGCTGTAACTATTTTGCGCTCAATATAGAACAGAGAGAATGTGTGGCAGAAGTCAAGGAACTTTTTCCCACATTCATTTGGAATGCCTGAGAAACGCATCATCCGAACGTATAATTTGCCAAGCCATATTATTTTTCAGTTGCTTAAGTAATTAAAAGACTACTTGGAACCCAAAACTAGGAAGAGTCACAAAATGCCAGGTCCATCCAAACTTGTTTTTTATTTTTCCTTCAGTCCTTTTAAACCTCCTTCTTTAGCTGAGTCGGCACATTCACCTGCGCTATTTGTGGTCATAAAGTCACTGAGGAAATAGTGCAGGAGCACATACCTGTGCTCTAAGCAATCACAGCGCTACAACAGGTTTAGCGTTTTTCCAGGACAGTCCTGTATTTCAGCTCTATTTTTAGTGTGTTGCGAGAACAGCCTAAGCAAAGGTAACCAAGCTTGTCGTAGAACAGATTTACCACCCAATTACAATTCGCTATCGATTAACTTCCTGTATGAGATGCTGGGGTTGGTGAAATCACAGCAGAAGAGCTCTCTCGTACGCATGACTTCAGATCCCTCAGACAGCATCCAATCAGTTTTCCTCATGCTGATCAGAAGCAAGTAAATCTGCACTATAGTCTATGGATGCATGCATTTGTCAAAACGTCCATCTTTATTTATTAATTTTTTGCTTTGTTAAGATTCTTGATTTGTCATTTTAGTAACACCACTCATGTTATAAAGGGAAGCATATTTAACCTCTGGGTTGTATTCTATATTTCTACCCAACTGCTGTGTACTGTATAATGCCTCATTTCCACTGAGTGGTACCGTGCGGTATAGTACGTGTCATCTTTATCAGGCTTGTGTGTCCACTGCCAAATGGTACCAACGGTACACTTTTAGTAGACGTGGTGTTCAACAGAAAGTTGCAGTTGTTATCATTCTAACTTGAAGTTCACATATCAAGCACTTCTTACTAAACAAATGCTTTATACATGAATATTTGTGTATAAGTAAATGTTAATTACTAACCTTTCTATGAACATGATTTGACGATAGCTGCAGATCAATTATAATGCGAAATAGCCTACTGTAATGTCTGTGATTTATATAAAAGAAAATAGAACATTTATGGACACACATAGAGGCTTATGGTCTCTGAAATGCAACCAATTACAAATAAAAAATACCCTAACATAAATTTAGGCCTTATTTGGTTCATAAATGATACAAAACATATACAGTCGTTACAAAACTCTCATCTTTATTCTTCGCCAGCACATGTAACATTAACATCTTGTTAAAAAGTCATTCCATCTTTCCTAGTTCATAATAGTCCAGAAGGCAATGTTAATAGTTAAACTTGGCAGTTTTTTCATGTTTTAGGTTGCTTAAAAGAATCATTTGCGCTTATTTTTTCATGCTTCATTCTCTCATTTGTTGTCTGTTAAAGCAGGGGTTCCCAAACTTTTCAGGCCGCGACCCCCAAAATGACAATGCCAGTGAGTCGCGACCCCCAATATATTCTGAGGTGGTTATAAATACAGAAACCTTGCATGCAATGGAGCACACACACACCAATGGACCCAAGTCTATTCTTCTTTTAATTTTTTTAATGTATGAGAGCTGTAAATGGGCAACAAAGTTTTACCAGGTGTTATGAAATCTGCTGCATCTGACACTATTGCTGTGTCTTTAATATAATGCAATTACCCCAGGGGTTGCAATTCAATAGAAGTAGTAACTATAAGCTACCATAGTGACTATATGGTATAAACGACTATTTTTTTCTCTTCAGTAGGTTATGGATAAAATATGGTAATTCTTATGGTTTAATAAAAATAAATCGATTTTTGGAAATCACCAGGCGACCCCCCCTTCATTGTCCCGCGACCCCTCGGGGGGTCCCGACCCCCACTTTGAGAACCCTTGTGTTAAAGGATGTCAGAAGCACTTTAATAATCAGGTGTATGTTATCATTATAAGGTTAAATTTGTTATTTCAACTTTAGACTGCCTTGTAAACAACAACAGGACACTCGGCAGATTCTGTTCTTCTTCTTGGCTTTGTGGCTCTTCATGGCGACAAGGGTTGTTTAAACTCGGGTCGACCATGGCTCGTTATTATATGAATAAATTATTACGATGTCTCCTCTTTGTATTTAAAAATGACGCTTCCTTGGTTTTCATTCTCCTAGCTTGTGCACGCACTAGTGGCGTTTTTCTGCAAACCAATAGCATTCAGCTGCGCTTCTAGCTCCACTTTTTTTGTTGTGGTAAGGTACAGTTCACTTTTTGGTACCTTTTGACAGTGGAAACAGGCATTAAGGCGTTCTAAACCATACCATGCCATACTGTACTACTCAGTGGAAATGTGCCATGCATGTGCTAACAACCTCTTCGTTACCTTCTTGTAAACACTTCCAAAATCATCATTAAAATCTAAAACGGTGGCTTTGCATGTTCTGATTGTAGAATCATTAAATGAGAATACCAGTTTTTTGGTCACACTTTACAATAAGGTTTCAATTAATTTTAGTAAACGTAGTTACTAACATGTACTAAAAATGAATAGCATTTACCTATCATGCCTCAACAGTTACTAATGTATTATTGAAGTCCAAAGTTGTTAGTGCACTGGGAGTTAACAAGATTTAGCAATGAATGATTTTACTTTTTTATTCACATTAACAAAGATGAGAAATAAATCCTGTTATAAATGTGTTTATTCTTTCTTCACGTTAGTTAATATGTTAGCTAAAATTAATGGAACCTTATTGTAAAAAAATATTTTAAAAAATATGAATGTAGCTAATTCACACAAACTAATATGTGAATCAGATTGCAAGGTTTTGATTGGATTCATTCTGCTTATGCTGTGTTTACACTAGACGCGGTACGTGCGGATAAATCACGCTATTCACGCGTAAATAGAGTCATGAACATTTGAGTTTACCCGCTTCATTCATGCGTCAAATCCGCTTCATTTGGGTGTCAAATTCACTGAGCAATAAATAAGGATTCGCGTCATGGGCAGAGCTTCTGTCTGCCCGGTGACTGTAGCTTTGTTGCTAAATGGCTAACATGGATTTTATTGAGAAAATAACTGTGTTTATGTGCTTTATGAAGGCTGAAAAATAGTGTTGATAAGTTTGGAGCAGTGTCCGAGTCCACTAGATCCTTTCAAAGGTGCACCCAGCTCTGTGAACTTATAAACTCCTCCAGAAACTTAACCTGGATGACGGAAGCATTCAGTGATGCTTCTGACTGAGCCGAGCCCAGTTCGATTAACTGTTTTTGGTGTGTGCAGGAGGATTTTCTCCAGGGACATCAACAACAGGCGCTACGTCATAATCTCGCCCCCACAAGAGCAAGCTCCAGATTGGAAAACTCAGTGCGTATGTCCACTAGAGTTCAGATTTTCGAACTTGAGAGATTTGCTTGTCAAACGAACAAAATACTTAATTTGCACCGCGCTATTTGTGCAATTTGCGTCATTCGCCCATATCGTGCCGCAGCATGTCTATTCGTGCCTTTGCATTGACTTAACATGTAAATCACTCGCGCTTGATGCTTCTTCCGCATCTGGTGTGAACGCAGCATTAGGGGTGTAGCGGATCATGGTTGATCCGTGATTCGTAAGGGTCACACCCCATGGTTTAGAACACGCGTGACCTGCGGATTAATACTTTTTTTACTTGTAGATTAATCCTAAATTTGTAACGATCGCAGAGAGATCGCCTCTCGCGTTATTCAAATTACATGTATGAAAGCATTTAGGCTTTCCTGTAAAATATAATGATGACGGAAGAAGTCGTAGTAGGTTATTTGGGATGTGGTGGGTTTCTTAGGTTAATAAATGTGTTTTCTGTCACGTTAGCCTGCATTCACTCATTCAGTGTAAGCTGCACAATCAATCATTAATAGATTAGGATCTCAACATCCATGCAACATAAATTATAAATGATGGTGATTTGCATATGTTTATTAATCCTTCGAATCGCAGCATTCAAATCTGTGTTTGAAAAACGCAAAAATCAGGAAAGAGATTCAGTCTTTAGTCTTTTGAGCTAGTTACGAAGTTACAAACAGTCAAATAACACAGAAGTACTGGGATAACAGTTTATAGTTTAGATATAAACACTGATGTTTATGGTAAAGATTAAAATCCCCATCATATGCATTTAACTTGACGTTCAAAAATGAAAGTTGTTGGCAAAAATTAAATTCTTTAACCAATAGGTGGTGACGACCAGCCATCAAAAATATGCCACTGAATAATTCCTCAAAAATGACACATCTAGCAATGAAACATGACGTTTTATGAGTGAATCACTGAACTATTTATTGAAAATGAGATTTAAATAGTAATTATATACAAATTATAATAATTATAATGTAATTTCTACATTGAGTGTTATCGGCAACAACAGTAGTAATAGTGAATTTTTTTTAAATACTGAATATTTTACAATGTATTTCTTCATTTTATTTTTAATATATTTTTTAAATGTTTTTGAAATAAATGGAAACAGGGTTCTTACGGGTGCTGGAAATCCTGGAAAATGCTTGATTTTTAATATAGTGTTTTCAAGGTTAGAAAAGTGCTTGGATTTTGGACAAAGTGCTTGAACCTGCTTGAATTTGAATTTGCAGGTCTCGAAATTGTGACTGTTTTGGTTGCATATACACACAATTTTATCTATTAGACCTCAAAATATATTTGGGAGCATATGTGCGAGTGCATAAATTGTTGTCATGCGGCCAGTTTTCATTGCAAATTGGTTACCGCATGCCCGTATTTATGGAGCTAATAATCAGCCCAAAAAATCTGAATTTGAATTGTTAAATTGAATTATTAACAATTGTAAGTTAATAATACTGATTATGTCCTATTAGAAATGTTTTGAATTTGTATTTCTTAACTTGATTATTGAACATCTGAAACTTAAGACAGCTTAATTTTTTAAGTCTGATTTTTATAGACATATTTTTAAACTATTTATTCTGAATTCAAAAACTGCAGACATTGGTTATGTAAAACTAGAGTTTTAAGTTTTTAAGAATTCAAATTAGCATGATTCAAATTCAGACTGTTAGCTTCATGTGTATTTAGGAGACATTCACCCAGAATGCATCTTTGCACCTGAAACGCCAATCCAATGACTGTAAAAAATAACGACTGGTCATGAAAGTTTGGTTCTACATCCAAATGAAATCTGACTGTAAGCTCATTTTTTGAGATACTAACTTTAGTTAGAAAGAGACCAAACTTAAAAAAAACATACTTCATCCAATAACTGAATCCTTTTTATTTATTTTTTGATAATTTTTGGGTGAACTATCCCAATAAATCTATGCTCTATAGTACTCAACGATTTAAGTTGAAATATCATATTGTGTTTTTTAAAATAGCACAATGGATTTAAATGTGAAAAGTACATACAATATGTATAACGTAATTAAACATGGTTATTAGGTGCTGGAAAAGCATAAAAATGCACCTTGAATGCATTTTGAATGAATGCATCATTTGCACCTTGAAAGTGCTTGAAAAGTGGTGTAATTTGAAGTTGGAAAAGGTGTAAGAACCCTGTGGAAAGCAAAAGTTATTTGTCTCCTCCCCTTTTTGGCTGATCCGCATTGATCTGAAATGGTCCGATCTGTCACTAAACCATAATGTGATCCGAACCCTGAGATTTGCGATCCGTTACACCACTAATTGTGCTTGATGTAAATAAATACATGCATACTGTCTTAACTTTGTGTTTTTATTCACATTTGCCAGTACATACGTTGTATAAAAATATATTTATATATATATCACTTGTTAAAAATACAGTAGCGCAGCTCTATGAATTGTTGACCTTCCTGTTATTGATCCAAAATGCTTGTATTCATCTTTTTTTTTGCTTTGTTGTAAAATGTTGACGTTTATATTGCTGTGTGTGTGTGTGCGTGGTCTTTGATGAGAGAGTAAATTTGTCCAGTTCTTACTAGGTTATGTTTACAGAGGAGGATGTGAAATTCTACCTTGCAGAGCTGGCCCTTGCATTGGATCATCTACACAACCTAGGCATTGTTTACAGAGACCTGAAGCCTGAAAAGTAAAGTATCCCCCTTCACCTCTCTGCTACTTTCCCTCTCTCGCTCTCTCTTTCTCTTTCTGTGTGTAGAGTAGATGCCATACTTTCTCTCTTTCTGCCTTTTCACCTGTCCTCTCTTTTTTTTTGATCTTTCATTAAATAAGGATGGCTGTATCTCTCAGAACCCATTTGCAAGATTATAACGGAGAGGTCTTTGAATTCTCCGTCTGATTTTTTTTGTTTGTTTGTTGACTTGTTTAGTTCATGTATTGTTGTATCTGTATTGGAGAAATGTGGTCTTAATTTTCAGCATTTTGCTTGATGAAGCTGGACATATCAAGTTAACAGGTACGTACCATTGTACAAATTCTTACATCACTTCCCTGCCTGTTGAACATGTGCATGTAGATATGGAGGCAAATTTGTCATAAATAACATCTACTTTTAGCGTTTCACCCTGTGTTTTCTAAAATTAGTCATATATTGTGAGTGTGTGTGTGACCTGGTCAGACTGGGTTTTTCGTCAAACTCTGCTGCTGGAAGGCTGCCGTTCTGTAGACTTTCAGGCTACTCTCATTTAAACACTTGTTGGGATGTTTTCATCCACTTTGGGGTGATTTTAAGTCTTAATTTGGCCACAAACTTCCCTTTGTTTCAGCAAATGGAATGATATTTGTTGACTAATCCTATTTTAAAACATATTTTGGGAAAATGCTTTGAAAATATTCAAAAATGCACTTTGTGGAAATTGACTACCCTTTCATTGTGTTTGGGGCTGTTTTTGGCCCATTGACTTCCATTATAATCACAATTTTTTTGATTGCAAAGCCATGACATTATATCATCATGAATTCTTGTTTGTTGGTGGGTTTCCCTGTTGGGAAGAGGTCAAATTTGAATCTTTACTGTTGATCATCAGTTGCAGTGTAAAAAAAGCCAGACCCTCCAGGGTTTCACAAATGTATCGTATTGTATCGCCCAAAATAAAATCCATGTGGACGCAAACAACCCTCGCTAAGCCATGATTCTACACACATCATGATTGTGGGTGGCAGTATAGAGTGGATAAACTATGACGTCAATTTGTATGCAAAAATCGAGAATTGAGTTGGCATTTTAGCAGTTCACGTTCCCGCCTTCCAAATCGATGGGAAATCAGTATTATGAAGATACTGCTTACCAGTACAGCCTGTCCCTTACCTTTTCTCTAACGTGTGAAAAATGTGTAAAAAATACATGCATATTAACTGACATTTTAATGTAAATTTTAACGTCATTTTTTTCTTCATCTGAACACATTTACCACTCTTTACAATGTATAGCATATGTCACTGTATGCGCTGCTTTTCGCAACAAAAAAATTAAATTGAATGTTTTCTCTATACATGATGGAACGTGCAGGCATGTAGACTTATCCCCCACGCCTCATTTATGCTGTCTATTACTAAGGTAAGCGGGCTGTATGCATGCAAGCGATACACTTATTAAAATATGTCTTATGATAATACTATTTAGACACATTTATATATACAGTTTTCACATTTTTACAACTGTAAATCAAAACAAAATGTATTTCCCCATGTAAAAACTATCCAAAAGGCACGTAGGTCAATACAGATGTGTTTTTGCGTATTTATTTGTTTATAATATATAGCGTGGATTATTAAATGATAAACTGAGAGTAAATATTTTCCATGGAGCATATTTCTACAAATAAGAAAAGTCGTCTGTAGCTGGGTGGTGCTGACATCACAGGTGAGCGCCCCGAAGGCTCTGTAGTCTGTTTATAGATTAATGTTAGCTTTTAAATTCTTGCATTTGCGTTTAAGATCAAAAAGTGCTAAAAGATGTATTTTCGTGTGAGGATCATCCGGCTGGACGAAACGTGTAAGTGTAATGAATCGTTTTATGCTCGCAGCTTGGGCTGTAACGATACACTCAGCTCACGATACGATGTGTATCACGATATAATGTTCACGATTCGATATGTATCACGATATTTGGAATAAAAATTGAAAATTAAACTGAAATGCAAATTTTACCAAGTAAACTATTTTTTTTTATATATTTCTTTTGTTTTAACTTGTTAAACTGAACCTTCTTTAAGAAAATAAATTAAACAGGCCTGTCTCTGGAAAATAAAACAATTTAAAAACTTCTTAAAAATATTATTGAAATGACAGAGACAAAATTAAGGAACAATTTAAGTAAAGGTGCAAAAAAAATAAGCTTTCTATTCAATTGAATTTAACAGTAAGAGCTTAAGGCTTTGCTTGGTCACTTGCGTTTTTTGTGTGTGCAAAAAAAAAATCCACATTTCCCGGTATTTAATTCATATTTAATTAAATTCATTTAGAGATATCTCTAATTACAATTGTGACTAGTCAAAACTCATTTAGAGATATCTGCAAATATTTTTCAATGGAAGTCAATGGATTAATATGTCTAGTCATAATATATTTGCAGATATCTCCAATCTGATTTCGTACTAGCACAATTGTAATTGCAGATATCTCTAATTGTCATTCTGACAAGTCGAATTATAATTATGACTAGTCAAAATATAACTAGAGATATCTCTAAATATATTTATGGATAGTCAGAACAAAGGTTTAAATGCAAAGGTCTATCATATTCCGCCCTCTAGTAACAGCTCACGGTCAGCTCACGTCATGTGTGATTTTGCGGCGGGAACATTATATGAACTGACAGAATGATATTTTAGGGTGAATTGTACCTTATAAATACAGTATGTGACTCTTTCAACACCATTAGGAGGTATCCCTGTCGCTGTGCAAAGTATGTAAATCACTGTGAAGACTTTAAAACTTAGGATGTTTGACCCAGTATGCGTGTCAAAAAGCGGACGAGTCTAAAAACAATGACTTTACAACCGAAATGTTGCCAGACGTCTGATTTTGAGAGTATGGGCCATCCTCTATTTCAACTCCACTCATCTTGGTCTGCTAACATTACAGCTGCTGCAATCTGAACTCGCGTGCGACAGCAGGTGGAACGTAGCTCACGTGCAAACAGCTCAACTAATAAGAGAAAACGCACGTCATATCGTAATCAAATTGTCATAACGCCACGATGCATATTGTGACATTTTTGCATCGCACTAAATCGTACAACGATAAATCGTTACACCCCTACTCGCAGCTGATTAGCCTACAAGGTGACGTCATAGTTTTTTTCACTCTGTATACTTTTACGTTGGTCTGTAACTCTGCGTTTAATCAGAATAAGAAGACAGAGCATGTTAAATATGAGTAAACATACAAAGTTGCATTTACCTACAAATATTACTGAGAAAAACTTGAGCTGAGTGAAATTAGTTAAAGACTTGTTGCGGACACATCACAGTGTAATACAGGCATTGTCACGCCTCTTTCACATCGCTCGTGCTAGTAGAGCAGAAAGCAGTGTGTGTGTGTCTGTGCGCAGTGAATGAGCTGAAGCAGCTCATGTTCTGCTGTCATTAATATTTTAATGAACTTTAATAGGTAAAATGTCCGAGATATAAACAAAAGCAAGTGATGCATCAGAGTTTGATTTAAAAAAAAATCTTAAATGGTTTAAAAATCCTTATATTCATTAAAATAATTTAAAAAAATAATACAAATAATTAGTTTAAAAATATTGAATAATATTAATGATATGACGTTGTTCCGGAAACTTTCTACTTTTCTGTTTATCCGCCTGACTTTTACGGTCAGTTTCTTTTGACCGCCCCCTGTCGTTTTAAAGTTTATCATAATGGCGAACGCGGCAAGTATAAAAACCTCGTCTGTTTTGAGGTGCGTGCGCAGTCAGCGGAGGTGCACGATGCGGCGACAGGCAAAAGTATAAACTTAGCTTGTTGGTTAATGGTGGCAACTGGGAATTGGTGGCAACTGATGATGTGAAAATTACACATTTTACCTCCTCTCGACAGGTAAAACCAGCAACAATCAAGAATGCATGATTATATGATGTCTTTTCTTTGCAATCAAAAGCATGATAATGGAAGTCAATGGGGCAAAAACAGCCCCGAGCATAACGAAAAGGTAGTCAATTTGAACGGCGCACAAGGGATAAAACAATCCTCTGCAGGATATATTGGCTTTTCAGGAGCAAAGTTTGACACCCCTGCTTTGGCTTTGGCGGCATGTTGCAATTATGACAACTGTGATGATGTGCCTTTTCCAGACTTTGGGCTCAGTAAAGAATCCGTAGATCAGGACAAAAAAGCGTACTCTTTCTGTGGCACTGTGGAATATATGGCCCCTGAGGTGGTCAACAGGAGAGGTCACACACAGAGTGCTGACTGGTGGTCTCTCGGTGTCTTAATGGTAGGTGCTCAGTACATCACTCCTTATGAATTTGTCTCTCGTAATTAGCCTGTTTGGAAAATGTGACGTTATACGTTATTTAGGCAACACTGCTTTTTTGTGAAGCAAGGAGCAAAGAAAAAATGTGTGCTAATCAGACAGACAATTCTAAAACGCAGAATTTGAAAAGCATTTAAAGTGCATTGTATTGCAAACCAAGGTTTTTTACTGGACGAAAAGACTAGAAATGGTGGTCAAAAAGGTTTTCGTACCTGAGATAAAATAAATGAAAAATTAAAACAAAACTAACAGCCACTGAGAAACGAACTGAAATAATTCACAATAAATGTGGAGTTCACAAAAAATAGAACTTAAGGGGGCTAATAATTTTGACCTTAAAATGTTATATATATATATATATATATATATATATATATATATATTACATATATATATATATATATATATATATATATATATATATATATATATATATATATAAAATTTTATTCTAGCCAAAATGAAACATGAGACTTTCTCCAGCAGAAACAATATTATAATAAATACTGTAAATTCCTTAATCTGTTAAATATCACTTGACAAACATTTGGAAACGAATAAATATCACATAGGGTGCTAATAATTTTTCCCTCAACTGTACATGGTTAACCTGTGGTTATACAATATACACTCACCGGCCACTTTATTAGGTACACCTGTCTAACTCCTTGTTAACACAAATTTCAAATACAAACAAGGTATGCAGAAGAGCATCTTTTGAACGCACAAGTCAAACCGTGAGATGGATGGGCTACAACAGCATACAACCACAAGGGGTGCCACTCCTGTCAACTAAGAACAGGACAATAGAAGATTGAAAACATGTCTGGTCTCAATTTCTGCTTCGGATGGTAGGGTCACAATTTGGAACGGGAGATTCGCGTCATGGATGTGCAGCTGACAAATCTGCAGAAACTGCGTGATGCCATCATGTCAATATGGACATGATTATGAAACCTTTTGCGCAAAGGTTAATGTAATCTGTGCAAACATTAAATTTGGCTTTTCAGCAACACTGGACTAACTGCTAAACTAGAATTAATTAAATAAAAATGTTAAAACTTAATTGATACTAACAACCAATATCAAAATGAACTGAAACAAAATTAAAATGTAAATCAATTTTAAAAGTAGCATAAAAATAAAAAGCAAATTAAAAATGCAAATTTGTAAAAACCTTTATGCAAACGACAAATCAATGCAGATGAGTTAAATCAGATTTTTCACTCTGTGGTACAGAACGGTTCGGCACGGCTCAGCTTGGCTTGCTTTGGTTTAGCTATGCTCGGCTCTGTTTGCATTTCCACTGCAGTTTAGTACCGCTTTAAATGGGTGGAATTGTCACAATAGTAACACTCTCCTAACATTATCATTTCTATTCCGGGTCATCCAGCTCTTTGACTACAGATGAGAGGAATGTCTGAACCTTTTCTACTGGCCACATTGTTGCCATATCAGGTGTCTTTTTTTCTGGTAATAGCAAAACAGTTTAGTCATGTGAACCGACAATACAGTAGTGGTAGGGCTGATAACACTTCAGGAGGGATTAGTCTAACAGACTTCTTTATGACCTTCCAAAAACGATTTAATTGCATCTCGCAGCAGAAGCAAAAAAATAATAAAAATCAGAGCATATCATGTCAGACCTCAGGTTTTTACAATGGCTTCCAGTTACATTTTAAATATATATTAAACATACAATTGCTTGTTTGGCTGAAGTATTGCAAATGCTGTATTTGAACTTCCTACCAATAATTCCTCACATCAATTGGAACGTATATTTGTCTACAAAATAACTACTGCCCCAGACTATAGCTGATGTTTTGTAATTGAACTGTGCGTGTTGGTGCCATTTATAAATTCCCAAGGAGATGCCAAAAAAGTTGACCTTGACTGCCCAACCCGAGACAAGCAGTCTAACATTTTAACATTTTCAAAAGACTGGTAAAGATGGATATTTTTGCAACACTTGAACTTTTAACAGTAGATAGCATTTTTATTTTTGTACTTTTTTTTTAAATAATAGTTTTTATTATAAAGAAAAATACAACTCAGAAAAAAATCTTTGCTTGCTTGTTTTGTTAAATTTAATGGGACTTGGAACAGCGTTTAAATATTTATGCACTTTTTTTGGCTGCTTCTGTTGCCCTTATTTTTACATTTGTCTGGAAGTGTCTACTAATGATTAATCATAAGGTAAATGTAATCTGCATATTATTACTGTATGCCAAAGCAAAGTTCTCTATTGATGAAATTGAATTGGCTGCTGATGTTTTTGAGATATTGTGCAATTCAATCATATGTAAATGTTAAAACATGTTAAAATCCAAAATTTCTCTCTTAATAAACTATTTTAAATGCTTTGTCTTATGTAGATTTAAATAACTGATCATATGCATGTTGAATTTGTGGATCATGGTCATTGATAAAACATTTTTCTTAGTTTGGCCATATAAATTTCAAAATTGTGATAAATTTATTCAATTGAGACTTTTAAAAAGTAATTTAAATTAGTTTTTTTTTGTAATGTAGTGTGGTAAAGTGTTTATTCACTCATTTTGTACCCACCATAATGTCATTCTAAACCAGGGGTCACCAATCCTGGTCCTGGAGGGCCGGTGTCCCTGCAGGGTTTAGCACCATCTTGCCTAAACACACCTGCCTGGATGTTTCAAGTATACCTAGCAAGACCTTGATTAGCTTGTTCAGGTGTATTTGATTAGGGTTGGAGCTAAAATCTGCAGGACACCGGCCCTCCAGGAACAAGTTTGGTCACCACCTTTGTCTCTTGTCACCATTAAGCTTTACTGTATAAACAATAGAATACTAAAACATTTAAGGCATTTTATCTGTGTATTGTAGACACAATATCTTTTGTTCTACCGATTGAATTGATTGAAAGAGAATGTCCATATTGCATTCTTACAATGGATATCCATACAGTAGTACTTTAACTTTAAACTTTATTGAAATGTTATACTTTTATTTAAATGATAACTTTAAATGTTATTTTATTTGCCCTGTTTGACTGTTATTGGTGTAACTCTGTTTCCAGTTTGAAATGCTGACCGGCACATTACCTTTCCAAGGAAAAGACAGGAATGAGACTATGAACATGATTCTTAAGTGAGTTGAAACACACCAGCAAATGTGTTAGCAGTGCAACCAGATTTGATTTGATTATACTTGATTTCTGTGGAAATAAAATGCCTGCAAGTGTGTTTTAGTATTGATGATTTGGTCCTGTTTTTTTTTGTGCTGCAGAGCAAAGCTGGGAATGCCACAGTTTTTAAGTTTGGAAGCACAAAGTCTTTTACGAATGCTTTTCAAAAGAAACCCATCAAATCGTTTAGGTAAGTCACATGTCTATTTTTTCCCTACATAATTTCACTTTTCTTTTGTTGAAACACAAAAATGAAGGAACACTCCTGTTTTATGAAATAGGCTCATTTTACAAATCCTCTAGACTAGAACTGCGACGAGCAATATCACATGAGTAGCAGTGCAATATGGCTATATATCAGCACTGGTCGGAGGACTGCCATATCGCACTGCTACGAGTGTGATATTGTGTTTATACAACAGTTTGACGACACAATTGTGTATATAAAAAAGAAAATCAAACATGGAATCTCTCAAACCTTTTTGTGAGAGGAACTATTTTTTTTCCGTCATTCATTCACATCTGCAGCTGACGTAAACTGTTGCTACTTCAACAACGTTACTTTAGAGTGAGTATTTAAATGATTCTCTAGCGTAATGTCTAAAGTGATGACAAAACAGCTGATTTTGCTCACATTTCAAGATTATAAGGCTGAACAGCATGAAATGCCATCAGTCTATATAGATTTCCCAGTATTTCTCTGTTGCAATTGTGAGATCACAATAATTAACCCTAAAAAAGCTAATGCAGCGCAAACACTACCCGATTACTGGTGTGTTTGCGATAAGGAAAACAGGAGACTTATTAGAAACAGATGGGCACCAAAAAAATAATTTAGGGTTACACAAAGAGTGGCCAGCACAAAGTACATACATTTCTGACATGAGTTCCATTTCACACTCAATACACAATAGTTACTGTGGTATAAATAGAGCACTACTACATACAAAAGGGAGAGATCGACTTAGAAAGGCACTTACCTTATTCATAATGATTTTATCCACTTTTGTTTAAAATCACGCTGAGTTTTTCCTCCTCTAAGGGCTTATTATGTGGTTTCTGTCACCATCTTGTAGATGGCGCTGTATCTCCAAAATTTTAAATATTTCAAATAAACACAATAAAGATGTGCCAAACATGAAACAAAACTCGCCTGGAGTTTGGCGTCATCTATTTATGAAACTTACAACATCCTACAATCTGAAATAATTCCTCACAGCAAACGTAAACAATCTGTAGCGGCAATTTTGCACACAGCGTGTCTCAATAATAAAACCTTTTTTATTATTACGTCATCAAATTCGGGGCTCCGACTGGTTCTTGGATTGACGCTCATCGCAGCTGTTGGAAAGTGTCTGAAACCTTCTGACACTGTCAGAACTTCATCTGAAGAAAATTCTGATCGCAACGGTCATTAAGCTGCTGTCTGTGAACATGTCAAACCAACGATCAGAGATCACCTATTTTAGCCTGGAATTTCAGGAATCTTTTAGGATTTTTTAAATTTTTCGAAGATTACAAAATAGTGACTGAAATCTCACAGTGTGAGCAGGGCTTTAAACAATTTTACCATTTTTGAATCCAGTTCTCCCAGACTGGTGGAGCATTTTAGCATAGCTTAGCATAAACCATTAAATCAGATTAGACCATTAGCATCTCCCATCAAAAAAAAGATAAAAGTATGACCGTTTTGATTTTTGTTTATTTAAAGCTTGACTCTTCTGTAGTTACATCTTGCACTGAGACAATTAATTGCGTAATATCTAAAGCCCAGTACAACAGCAATGTTTCTTGATCATTACGCCAGAATGAGAGTATAGGTCCTATCCATATCCACTTCGAAAATAGAAACCTTTTATTTTCTGTCAGTGTAAGTACACAATGAAACCACTGAGGAGTCCAGCTTTAAATGGTAAAAAAACTGAAAAATAAATGATCAAAACTGTCATGCGATCATCTTTTTTTTTTTTTTTTTTTTTTTTGACCGAGATGTTAATGGTCTAATCTGATCCAATGATTTATGCTAAGCTAAGTTAAAAGTGCTCTCCTCCGTCTGGGAGATTGGCTAATTGGATTCAAAAATAGTAAAATTATTGTTTTGAATATTTTGTTTCATTTTATTTATTTATTTATTTGTTTAGGCTAGATGCTTATGATCTAATCCAATTTAATGATTTATCCTAAGCTAAGCTAAAAGTGCTTTCGCCAGACCCGGGCATTAGCTAAATGGATTAAAAAGTGGTTGAACTCAACTGTTCAACTCTAGGTGACTTGTAAAATGAGCATATTTTCCCTCACATTGGAGCTCTTTTAATAGATGCAAACTGTTATTAGCATCATAACCATAATTGGTCTGTTCCAGGAGCGGGTCCGGACGGCGTGGAAGAGATCAAACGACACACGTTTTTCTCCACCATTGACTGGAATGTAAGATTTTGGTTAACCTACCAGTACACACTGTTTTAAGTGCTCAGGCTCAGTCCTTTATCAGTGTGTGGCAGGTGGCTAGACGGTGTACCAGCTCTAGCTGTGCTTGACTAATGATCTCAGCCAGATGCATCTAAAACACCTAGCATTGTTCTATTGACCATGAAAAGGGGAAGAAAGAAACCTTTCCCATTGAGAGCTTGCACAGTCCTTACTGCATAAATCACACATTACATTTATGAAGTATTCTGAATGCAGTTGAAAATAAGCCCTGGAGCAATTGTTTGGTGCTGTTCATGCCTGCCTCACACTGAAAAGAAGCTGAACTGAGTCACAAAATAAAATGGATCCATTGACATGACTCATTCTGCAGTCCTCCATCAATGAAACCCTTTAAAGCACAGTTGTCAAAGCCAGTTCCTGGAGGGCTGCAGCCTTGCACAGTTTAGTTCCAACCCTCCTTCAACACACTTACCTGTAGGTTTCAAACAAGCCTGAAGGACTCAATTAGTTTGATCAGGTGTGTTTAATTAGGGTTGGAACTAAACTCTGCAGATCTCTGGCTCTTCGGGAGCTGGCTTTGTTATCGGTGCTTTAAAGCATTGGTCTCAAACTTAATTCCTGGAGGGCCACAGCTCTGCACAGTTTTGCTCCAATCTTCATCAAACACAGCTAATCCAATCAATGAATGTGTTTATTGGTCCCTACTCAGTATTGATTTTCAATTGGAAGTACATCAACATACTGAAATAAGTCAATTTCCTGTTAACACAGACTTTAAAGTTGCAGTTTAAATGACGAGCTTTTTAGTACCTCGTGTAAAGGCTTCGCATCTTTTGTCTGAAACCAATTCTATATTTGTGAATGACCTGGCTTATTGTGAAGTACAGTGGGCTGTCAGTGTGGAATGATAAGTGATCACTATTTTGTCGGTGTGTCAGGTGGGAGATGTTTTTTTGGAGTATCATGTGTTTATTGTGTCTGTGTAGAAGTTGTACCGAAGAGAACTTCAGCCTCCATTCAAACCTGCTTCAGGGAAACCAGATGACACTTTCTGCTTCGACCCAGAATTCACAGCCAAAACTCCCAAAGGTATAAAAGAGAAAGTCTTTTGGATGGATTTCTTTGGGGGAACTAGTGATAATAAATGTACCTGTTAGAAGTGCGATAGTGAGTTGAGCTGTTTTGTGTGTGTGTTTTCCTGTCGACAGACTCTCCAGGCATTCCCCCCAGTGCAAACGCTCACCAACTCTTTAAAGGCTTCAGTTTTGTAGCCCCAGTCTCCCTGGAGGAAAGTAAAAGTGCGCCACTAGTCAACATTCTCCCCATAGTGCAGGTAAATCTCTCTCTTTTACTATGCATATGTGTGAATTATACATGTTTGGTGTTCTCTTTTTAAATTTAATGGTAAAAAAATCATGTAAAAGTTTAATGTAATGAAAATGTGTACAGTGGATCCAGAAAGTATTCATAGCGATTCACTATTTCCACGTTTGTTTATGTTACAGTCTTATTATAAAATGAATTAAATTAATTTATTTCCTTTAAAATTCTACACACAATACCCCATAATGACAATGAGAAAAAAAGATTTTTTGAAATTGTTGCAAATTTATTAAAATAAAAAAACCTGAAAAATCACATGTACATCAGTATTCATATAAGTAGATTTAAGAATATAAGTATTGCTCAATACTTTGTTTATGCATCTTTGGCAGCAATTCCAGCCTCAAGTATTTTTGAATATGATGCCACAAGCTTGGCGCACCTGTTATTGGTCATTTTTGCCCATTCCTTTTTGCAGTACCTCTCAAGCTCTATCAGGTTGAATGGGAAGCGACTATGTACAGCCATATTCAGATCTCTCCAAAGATGTTAGATAGGATTTAGGTCTGGGCTCTGGCTGGGCCACTCAAGGAAATTCACAGAGTTGTTGTGAAGCGACTGCATTGATATTTAGGCGATGTGCTTTGGGTCATTGTCCTGCTGGAAAAAGAACCGTTGCCCCAGTCTCAAGTCAAGAGCACTCTGAAGCAGGTTTTCTCTGCATGTCAGGATGTCTCTGTACATTGCTGCATTCATCTTTCCCTCTATCCTGACTAGTCTTCCAGTTCCTGCTGCTGAAAAACATCCCCACAGCATGATGCTGCCACCACCATGCTTCACTGTAGGGATGGTATTAGCCTAATTCTGCCATTGGAACTTTCAGAGCAGCAGAAATTTTTCTGTAACCTTTCCCAGCCTTGTGCCTCGAGATAATCCTGTCTTGGAGGTCTAAAGACAATTCCTTTGTCTTCATGCTTGGTTTGTGCTTTGACATGCACTGTCAACCCTGGGACCTTATATAGACAGGTGTATGCCTTTTCAAATCATGTCCAATCTACTGAATTTACCACATGTGAACTCTAATGAAGCTGCTGAAACATCTCAAGAATTATCAGTGGAAACAGAACTTACCGGAGCTCTTTTTTTTTTTTTTTTTTTTTTTTATAAATTTGCAACAATTTTAAAGAATCTTTTTTCACATTGTCAGTATAGGGTATTGTGTGTAGAATTTTTAGGAAATAATTTAATCCATTTTGGAATAAGACTGTAAGTTAACAAAAAAATGTGGAAAAAGTGAAGCGCTATGGATACTTTCGGGACGCACTGTATATATGAAGAGTTCAGATACAAAAACCTCTCATTGCCATCTGAAATTTTCTTTAAAAATGTGCATTTTTATCAGACTCCTGAGTGTAGGTTCAGTAATTTTACAAAGAATAAGTCATTTGCATGGTCTTCAAAGTAAAATAACTCAACACAGAAAATGAGCATTATTCTGGGCCTCCTTTGTTTATGGAAATTTCAGATGGCACTTAGAGGTTTTTGTATTTGTACTCTTAATTTAGAAAAAATAAGTATAATTGAACTTCATTTATTTCAGCTTGCTGCCAAGGCAACAGTTCTCATTTTCATTCTGACAGTTCTATTTCTGATGTTAAAACATGCTACTTTTCATAGCAGGAGAAATAGACTGAATCATTATGCATGATTCATATTAATGGCATACAGTTGAAGTCAGAATGATTAGCCCTCCTGTGAATTTCTTTTTCAAATAATTCCCAAATTATGTTGAACAGAGCAAGGAATTGAAAGAATGACTGTACATACCATTTTTATAGTTATTTTACAAGATATTAGTGTTTAGCTTAAAGGTGCTGTATGTATGTGTTTGACTCTTTTAAAGCATTAAAATTACCATAATATGTTTGCAGATATTTAAGAAACATGCTAAGTAAAAACTCTTGTTTATGTGGAAAAACTATGCAAAAGTCAGATATTCTGCTTTGAAAATGAGCTTTTCATGTAGGAACCGCTGTCTTTGTTTCTTTTTACCCACCCAGTGCCAGTTTAGCCAATCCTATTCAGCCCGACCAATTACTATATTTTCAGTGACCGAAATGCGAGCTCCGGTGGACAGTAGCAGACTGGGTGGTTATTAATTAGCAAATAATATAAATATTATGAACGTAAACATTAGGTGAGCAGGTTACATTGTAACCTTGTGTCCTAATAACCTGCGACATGACAAGAGAAGTGAATTTGGCTGTTTACACCAAACGAAACACAACAGAAATTAAAGTACAGCCATTCAGAATAGTGCACTTACTGCACTCCTACGAAATAGTAAGGTTTATAATGTAATTATTAAACCTTAACATTATTAAATGTAGATGCTGAATTACTGATATTAGTTGGTTTTCACTGAGTCACAGTTCTAAAGTTTAGTTTTAAATTGTTTATTCTATTTTCAAGATCTGAGGTAGAGTTCTGCATTTCTGCAGATGTACCGCGGGAGCTGCGGGACCAGACCAGATTTCTTGCAACGTGGGAATAAATTTCAGCGTAAAAAAGCCCACAATCCTTGTACAACTTACACTTTCTTCTGTTGTCTCTCTCTTTTGGTAGTACCCAAATTTAACATGAGATTTTGGAAACCAGGTCTAAATTTAGTGGGAATGGACGGGTAGAAAATTGGGTCGGTTTTGGCAGCGAGTAAACAAAGGCTCAGCGGGAGCTATCGGGTGCGGAGTCATTCTCGCTTGAGGAAATCTCGCTCAAAATAAAGCCATAAGGGTCGTTCACATATCATATAAGAAGCACTTCTCACAAAACATGCTTTATACACATAAATGCTTGTGTATAAATGTTCATTACTAACCTTTCTATGAACATGATTTGATTATAACTGCAGTTTAATAGCCTACTTTAATGTCTGCAATTATATTTAAAAAATTATATTAAAAAAACTGTTTATGAACACATACAGACCCTTACAGTCTTCGATATGTTACCAATTACAGAAAAACTACACACAGCATACTTTGGGTTCCAAAACATGCAACTTATAGCCCAGTCAGTGCAAATCTCTCATTTGTATCTTTAATCTTCACCAGATTGTAACCTCTGTTTTTCAGAGTTCATAATAGTCCAAAGGCGAAGGTAAACATGGCAGTTTTTTCATGGTTTCAGTTGGTGAAAGAATCATTTGCTCCTTTGTTTTTTCATGCTTCACTCTCACGTTTGTCTGGTTATGATTGGATCGCATGTCAGAAGCACTTTAATAACCGCTCACACGTTATTATCATTAGCTCAAGAGGTTCGTTATTTCAAATATAGACTCGCAAACGAGCGATCATGAGCTCCCTGGAAAAAGTGAAACAGCTCGCACTTTTAGACGACCTCCTAAAACAAAACCAGGACACGGCATACTTTGTTCTTCTTGGCTTGTGGCTGTACATCAAGACAATGACAAGGTTTATCTCAGCTTGGGTCAACCATGGCTTGTTATTATATGCATGTAGTATTACAATGTAATGTCTCGGCTGTGTATTTAAAAGGCGGTTTCTTTGTTTTCATTCTCCGCATGTGTATGCGCGAGTGACGTGTCTCTGTAAACCAATATCGTTCAGTGTCTAGCTCTGCCTTTTGGCACCCTTTTGTTGTGCTAGGTACCCTTTGCAAAGGGTGCCCAAAAAGTGGTACAGTACGATTCGCTTTTAGGTACCTATTAATAGTGGAAAGGCCATAAAAAGAGCACCAAACCATACCATGGTGAACTATCTGCTGCTGCTTTCAGTAGTATGGCAATAAATGTTATGTACAATGGTATTCAAACTTACATTATTAGTATTTTTTGTAGATTTATTTTTGGCCTTTTTGCCTTTATTAAATGGATAGGACAGTATTTCAGACCGAAAGTGAAGTGGGAGAGAGAGTGGGGTTAGGGACGGAAAATGTCCTCAAGCCTGGATTCGAACTCGGGTCGCCCTGAAGTGCTACAGCACCATATGACGACGCGCTAACCACTAGGCTATTGCGCCCACACATCTTTAGCATTTAACACTGAATAAAGCATATGAGGTTTACCCGAAGTGATCATACTCAGTTTTCTGTTGTTCAGCTTCAAGAAATAGAAATTGTGTCTAAAATATACATTTCAAGTGTTGGTTAGAACAAAAACTCTTTTTAATATGGAAAATACTCCTTTAATCATGTGCCGTTGCTTTGATTTAGGACACGACTTATGGCTCGATAGTCAGGGACACTGTTGATGTTGTCAATCTGGCATCCTGCGCTTGCGTGTATTTTGAACCGGTGGTGCAATACTTAGTTCAACCACTGGGTGTCAAACTGACATACTGCACCTCTAAAGTGCAATTTACAAGGTTATTCTGTTAACCAGGCAAGTAAGGATAATAAGACACGTCATTGGATAACAGTGTTTTGTTTTGTAGACAATTGGGGCGGGGGGATAATCTAAAGCTGGGCTAATAATATTGTCCTTAAATTAGGTTTTTTTTTTTTTTTTAGCAAATTCAATTTCCAGTCAAACTAAAAGAAATTTTCTAGACTTTTCTTGGTCTGGTAAACATCACTTGGGAAATAATTGAAAAAGAACACAAATTTCACAGGTAGGCTAATCATTTTGCCTTCAACTGTTTGTATGTTTGTAGATGTTCAAGGCTTTTGTGTTCTGTGACAGGTGCATGGCAGCTCAGCTCAGTTTTCAGACGTGTACGAGCTGAAGGAGGACATCGGTGTGGGTTCATACTCGATATGTAAACGCTGCATACACAGGGTCACTGCCATGGAGTTTGCTGTAAAGGTGAGTCATCGTGACTCATCAAAACAACTCAATGGTGCCTCATCAAAAATGATTGTAGTTAAAGTGATATAACATTATTTTATTTGAATCTTGAACGAAATCATCTCCTAAAAAAAAAACGGCCACCAAATATCAAAAAGAAAAAGGGAATTTGCTGCGGCAGGAGAAGCTAATGTGGACCTTTTTCTTGTATAATTCATTACTTTCTCTTTAGAAGGAGAAACGCAGTGGGAGTCATTCTAAAATCTCTAAGTCTGTCATCAAAGTGGTTGGACATTATTAACTTGTCTCCAGACATAGCTATAGGCACATTAAGCAGATCTGTGCTGTCCACAGTAAATGAGTAAAAATACATAGTTCTATATATTAAGATTTTTTTTTTAGAACTACTACAGTATTGCATTTATTTTGACAGCGCAGAAGATAGGGCGAGTATAGCTTCATCAGACCACGCTTCATGATCTTCGTTTTAATTTATCAAAATGTGTAAAAATCAAGAAAATGAGTGTTTTTGCTATATCAACTACCAGGGGTGGGTAGTAACGAGTTACATTTACTTGAGTAAAATTGTTAGGTAACGTGCACTTTTTGTGTACATTTAAATATGTGTACTTTTACTCTTACTCAAGTAAATTATTTAAAAAAAAGCATTACTCTTACTTCGCTACATTTGGTGGCGTTCCTCCGTAACTGTCAAGTGATCATAAATATGATCCATATATTTTGTTTGCAAATATCGCGAGGCGCCACATTGGAGAGGTTGTGTCGTGGGAGGTTGCTATAGAGACGTTTCTTCCACTTTCGCTTGGATCGCATGCCTGTTTGAATAATGGCTGTCTAGGAAGTCTAGGAAGATGTGCGAGTTTATACTGTGGTCATGCCATGTCGCCATCTACGGTTCCAAAAGGACGGTCACGTTGTCTGTGCAATGAGTTTATCGGACTATGTCAACCGGCCTCAAATTCAGTCTATGTTTTTACTTCAAGATGTCATGAAGGGTAGTTTCATAATGTGATTCACGCATCGAACTGACATCACAACATATAGATGAATGACCGCTCCGACCTGTAAAAAGCATGTCGTGGGAAGTGGCAAAATGATCCATAATTTTAGACCTTATTAATGGTAACTATGGGAAAACTAAAGAAACTGCTGTTTAATGGAATAACTGATTAGCCCTGCACACATTAGTCATTTAACCATTAAAAATACAACATTTAAACATTATTTTTAACATACAGTTGCTTTAACAGAAATATTTTATCAACACATTTCTATAGTTTTAATAACTCATTTCTAATAATGAATTTCTTTCATCTTTGCCATGATGACAGTAAATAACCTTTGACTAGATATTTTTCAAGACACTAGATATTTCATCACCTTGGAATTATAAGGTTCTATCTGACATTTTTGTCAAAATTGAGTTATTGATATATTGAATGTCATTGAATGACAGCGTATTTACATTATATGATGGGGGTTTTTTTTTAGAAGTTGTTTATATTTTAGGACTTTTTATTTAAAAAGCAAAAGTTACACACATACTGTTTGCTAAATGGAATGCAAAAACTTTAAAGCCAAAAATCTCAAAATCATTCAGAATGCAGATAGAACCTTGTAATTCCAAGGTGACGATTTTAAAATAACATTTGAAGGCTTAACCAGGTTAATTCAACAAGCTAGGGTAATTGATAATGGTTTGTTCTGTAGACAATCAAAAGAAATATTGCTTAAGGGGGCTAATAAATTTAACCTTAAAATGGTTTTAAAATTAAATTAAAATCTGTTTTTATTTTAGCTGATATTAAACAAGATCTTCTCCAGAAGAAAAAGATATAGGAAATACTATGAAAATGTATATTTCTATTTATATATAAAATGAAAAGTATCTAGTTACTAGAGTAATCTTTTCATCAGATACTTTTTTTACTCTCACTCGAGTATCTTTTAAGTTTGTTACTTTTACTTGAGTAAAAATTTCCGCTGATACTTATACTTTTACTTGAGTATATATATTGGATACTCTACCCACCTCTGTCGACTACAAACCGATCGGTTAATTTTCTGAACTGTGACATCGCTAATATCCATTTGTTCGTCATAATTTTTGCTGTGATTGTATTAAATAGATTATTGACAAAAGCAAGCGAGACCCATCGGAGGAGATTGAGATCCTGATGCGGTATGGACAGCATCCCAACATCATCACACTGAAAGACGTGAGTGGCAGACAGAGATTTCACACTCTTCAGCTCTTTGTTGTAAGAACTCGGGTGTCATTGTGTGGGTGTGTTTAACTCAGGTGTATGACGAGGGCCGTTTCGTGTATTTGGTGACGGAGCTCATGAAGGGCGGTGAGCTGCTGGATAAGATCCTCAGGCAGAAGTTCTTCTCAGAGCGAGAGGCCAGCGCTGTGCTCTACACCATCACCAAAACTGTGGATTACCTGCACTGCCAGGGGGTGAGACTCTATCCCTCATTTATTACAGTGTGCTGTGCAAGGTTATTATAATTAATGAAAACGAACGTAAAAATGAAAACTTACATTTTAAAATGGTTTTCGTTAACTGAAATAAAAATAAAAACGAGAGTTTTTGAAAAAAAGAGTTTTAAAAAAACTGGATCTAACTGAAACTTTATTGTGTACATGCAAAACTAACTGAAACTAACTAAACCTTTAGCAAAAAACACCCTTGGTTTTAAAATTTTTTTGTATTTTTAAATGTATTTAATACATAAGTCATTGTCCCGATCAAGCTGTTTCCCCTTCAGTCATCCTCGCTGTTGCTCTCATGACAAAAACAACGATTGGACATGACAGCAGCACGGTGACGCTTTAAGTTCTGAGACTTAAAATTCATGATCTAACACGTTTGTGCCCAACAATGGGTTTTATTTGTGTATTGGTGATCACGATCGCAAATAAATGAATTCTTATTAACCAGATCTTCTAAATGAAGCGGTTAAACTAGTTCACCAAATCGAGGTGAATCATTTGAATCGATTTGCATAGCCAGTAAGCACTCTTATCCACAAACTACTTACTTTTTAACATGCATAACACCTCCCTCTGTCTCGAAATAAACCAATATAAACGGAGTTATTGAGTTATTAGAACAGTACACTAAGATCAGATTTGAGAAACCGTGAACTGATAATACTGCGCATGCGTAATTCAGTGAACTGAACACAAACAGTACATGGCAGCCTGCTGTGACTAAACTAAACTTGAACAACTGCAGCACGGGTAAACCGAGGGCTTAAATGAGAGGCTCTGGCGAAAGGTGCGCTTATTTCATAACAGGAAGCCATAATGGAATTTAAATAAGTAAATCATGCTTCAGTTGGGTTGCAAAACACAATTGTCACATTGTTGCATTTCACATACTTAGCCCACATGAAACCGAAGCTGCCAGCGTTTTTTTTTTTTTTCGTATTGTGACGCAGTTACTATTGAAATAATAAATGACAAAACAGTGGACGTGGCTTGCTTTTTTACTGCAAGCTGATTGGATGTAGTAAAATAGGCATTCATTCAGAAAGAGAGTTATTGCAACCTAACAAACTCCTCCACCTCGCCATTTCTGTTGTTATCAAAACTGACAGTTGGAGGGGCGTGGTTAAGTATGTTAGCCCCGCCCATTATATTTAAAATTACGTAAATTGTACATAAATTACGTACAATTTACTGAAAAAAAACAAAACATGAAGTGCATTTTCAAATTTCAATTTTAGATTACAAGGGCAAACATTTATTGTTTTATTTATGACATGCCCGCATGAATTGCTAACCACGCAGTTAGCAACATGCTAACAAAATCATATGGTTAGTTTTGATTTTATTTGTACTTTAAATTTTACTACAACATGCTAGTATATACTGCTTATATGAGGACAAATTGGGGTTCCTATTCGATTCTTCCTCCATAAATGAATACAAACGTTGCTCTATGGTGCTTTTGGACGTGCATTTTATGAATCAGGATCTGTCTATCAGAGAAATGCATTGAATCTTTGAGGCATAGATTAGTTTTCTTGAGGTTTTGTCATTTAGTTATAATGTCCCACTTGCTTTTATCAAGATTTGTCATATTTAATAGCTGTAATTTTGCCAAATGGATTTGCACTTTAATGGCTGCATGAAAGCAAACGCTCAGCCTCGAAGCCCACATGAAGTTGTAATTGCTTAACATTGTTTTAGTGTATATGATGCTCCCACTTCCTGCTTTTTTTACTGCATACTATTATTTTGGTGCATGTTGTGAATAACAATTTAAATTTATGAATTGGTGGGGAACAAAACGTACTATTCAAAAAGTGAGCATCATTAAAGTCTTGAGTATTTCCTGTAACAAGTGCAGCTGTAATTATTAAAAGACACTGAAATGAACAGTATGAGTGTTTGCAGGTACTCTATTTGTGACAGGCTCTGTTTCTTACTCAGGTTGTACATCGGGACCTAAAGCCCAGCAACATCCTCTACATGGACGATTCGGGAAACCCCGACTCCATACGCATCTGTGACTTCGGCTTTGCCAAGCAGCTAAGAGGAGATAACGGACTCCTGCTCACACCCTGTTATACCGCCAACTTTGTGGCTCCTGAAGTGAGAAACTGCTCTGCATATAGAGATTACTCAATCTCCAAAACATGTCCTGTATTGTTGGGTATTGATGTGTAACATACATTTGTCTAATGTGTTGTAGGTGCTGATGCGGCAGGGTTATGACGCCGCCTGTGATATCTGGAGTCTGGGAGTGCTACTCTACACTATGCTGGCGGGGTCAGTTTAGCTGCTTGTCCATGTTTTATTACTTTCTATATCCTTTTTGCACTGTTCTGCTAATATTAAGGACGGAACAGTTCATTGGAAAAAAAACAAGACAAAAACATTTAATTCTCTGGTTTGAGTTGCTTGTGTATTAGTGTTGTCTATAAAATTGATACTGAAATATTTAGAATGATACAGTCTTACTTTTGGTTGGTATCGTTACTGTCTTTAATAATTAGGAGGGAGGGAGGTGAATAATTAATAATAAAATAAAGATGTAAACACTATTTTGGTCTGAAAGTAAGATGAGATTGCACTAATTTATTTTAGAATGCTGATGAACCTGCTATAAGCATGATATATATATATATATATATATATATATATATATATATATATATATATATATATATATATATATATATATATATATATTTATTTTTTTATTTATTTATTTATTTTTAAATGCTTTACTTGCATACTTTTAGTGTTGTGGAATTTGTTCCCAATGGTATCATAAATGGTAATGAATATCAATGTTTTTCAAGGTATCATATCGAAGTTGGAAATTCCAGTATCGTGACATCACTATCATGTATTGTCGGGTCCTTGGGCCACACATACAATATATCCTTTTTTTCTTTGTTTGTTTTTTTACCATTTGGCTCAAAAGCAACAGTTTGGAGTGTTTTACAACCCACGCCTACTTATGTATTCATCATCAGCCAATGGTATTACTTATGTATTTTTTGGCATTTAGGTAAAACAACAGGCTAATGTACAAGCCATTAATTTCTGTTTAGCCTTTATTAGAATGTATATAAAAAGGAATGATTTGTTAATCCTAATCTCTTATTAATGTACTTTTTAAAATATTAAATCATTTAAACCTTAAAAATACTGTAAATGATACATTTTAACATAATAGCATACCATGAAAATGATTTTAAGAATGTAATATACTGTTGAAGTATATCCCAATATCTGTTTAACGGAGAGCAGATTTTTTCAACACTTTTCTAAACATAATATTTTTTTAAGAACTTATTTCTGATAACTGATTTATTTGATCTTTGCCATGATGACGGTAAATAATATTTGATTAGATATTTTTCAAGGCACTTCTATACAGCTTAAAGTGACATTTAAAGGCTTAACTAGGTTAATTAGGTTAACTAGGCAGGTTCGGGTAATTAGGCAAGTTATTGTGTAACAATGGTTTGTCCTGTAGACTGTCCAAAAAAATAGCCTAAAGGGGCAAATAATTTTGTCCCTAAAATGATTTTTAAAAACTTAAAAACTGCTTTTTTGAATCATTTAGGAAATATTTTAAAAAGACAGCAAAAATTCAAAGGGTGGCTAATAATTCTGATATATCACACTCGTAGCAGTGCGATATGGCTGTATGACTGCACTGGTGAGAGGCGTGTGTTGGCTTCAGGCTGCAGGTTGTGTGCCTTAGTGCTCCCAGTAACAATATACACCCAAATTGCACTGCTACGAGTGTGATATTATGTTTATACCACAGTTCAACTGCATAATTGTATTTCTCTTTTGCAATTGGAATATGATGATAATTAACCCTGACAAAGCAAAACCGAAGCAACCACTACCAAATTACTGTAGTCTAAATACAGCACTACAAGAGAGAGACATAAGAGAGAGATTGACTTTGAGAGTCGCTTACCTGTTTTATAATGATTTGATCAGCTATGGTTTGAGTTTTTCTCCTCTTAGGACTTATTATTCAGTCTCTGTCGCCATCTTGTGGCAAAACGTCAACCGTCTATGCTCTGCTCAGTATGACAGGCGAACACCCTGAATCTCTAAAATCATAAATATTTAAAATAGGCACTATCCTTATAAATAAACTGCATAGTTGCAGTCTTAAACAACTACATTCTTGCTTGAAAAAGCCTTTAAAAGAACATTATGTTGTCCAACAGCTGCAATGTTTGTCAAACTGTTGTGAGTTTATTGATACGCTGTCCCTCTTTGTGGGCGGAGTAATACACAAGGGTGAAGAGGCTGTACGAGTGTTGTTATTACAGGAATATCGCATGGCTTGTTTAATAACGTTTTTCAAGCTTTTTAAAATACTTGTTCCTATTATTATAGAACTGAAAATCAATACTTTTAATGTTCTGCATTTTCTTTTTCATTTTTTTTAATTGTATAGACCTTTTTCTTGGAACGCAAAATTACCCATTATGCTTTGCGTGTATGCGCAAGGAGAATGCGAAGAACTTCCGGTCGGCAGCTGATGCGTGTAAACAGTCACATTTGGACAGCTTTGAAACGATAGTTTTAATCTATTTTACCTGCTTTTATCGTCTTTGAACTAATACTGTTGTCCATCAGCACCATCTCCTGGACTGATCATTTAATGAAATGCGATCTAATAGGATGGAAAACAGCTGCTGTGATGCATTTTCCCCTCGTTGTCAGACGGCATCTTCTGCAGTTTAAATGAAGCCTCGTCATCGCTAAAGTCAACATTTTCTCTTTATTTCAAATATATAACCAGCCCAAACAAATGTATTTCACCAAAATGTTGGACACACACAAGAAAATATAGGCTAGTGTCATTTCAAAATGACAGAAAAACACAAACCGTGGTAAAAACAACACACGAAATCAAACACAAACGGCTCGCTATTAGAATGAACAGCAAATCAGCCAGCAGAGGATCAATAACAGACTTTTATTGGTCATTTTTGTAAATTGCACGACTTACATACCTGTTAAGTTTCATGCCAGTACTCTGGTTTGCTCTCTCTTTCTCTCTATCTGCGCTGAGCTAACTGCTGACAGGCCGGGAACGCACACGCACACTATTTCTGACGGCAAACACGTGAACTACAGTAGGAGAACGTTTTTCTCGTATTTCTGACGCGCTTGAACCACATGTGACAGATTATAACGGCTTTAACAGATACATTTCTAAGTTGTGTGTCACAAAAATGCTCTGTTATCCATTAAAAACGTTATTGAAACCCATTTTCGGAGCGGAAGTTTTTCGCATTCTACCGGAAGACGCTGGTCGCTATGGCGCCCTCCATGCAGCAGCCATGAAAAAGGTCTATAGTGTGTCTATATTTTTGACTAGGGATTTTGAAGCTTTTTATTGTTTGGTTGAATGAAACAAAGTACGTCTAAATGAATGTGCTGTTTATGTCAGTTTTTTTTGTTCATCTATCCAGGTACACACCCTTCGCCAACGGACCTAATGACACGCCAGAGGAGATTCTGTTACGAATCGGCAGTGGGAAATTCTCCCTGAGTGGAGGAAACTGGGATTCTGTGTCAGATTCCTCAAAGGTAACGAAAAATAATAGTTGGCACTGTTGTCTAGAATTGTTCAAAACAATTCAAACGCAAACTTGGTGAACTGACTGACTTTTGGTTCTTAGTGGAGGTAAAGTTTGATTTGACATCATTAGCACTGTTTTGCAAAACAAGCTTAAAGGCATAGTTGACCCAAAACTGAATATATCATGTACTTACCCATTTACTTGTTCCAAACATCTTCAAGTTTAGTCCTATGTTAAACACAAATGAAGATATTTTGAGTAAGACTGAACACCTGTAACCATTGACTACCATAGTTTTTGCTTTTACTACTATGGATGTCAATGGTTAAAGGGTTTCAGCTTTCTTAAAAATATGTTCATTTGCTTTTTAACTGAAGAAAGAAACTCAAAGTTTATAATCATTGAAATAAGATTAAACAGCGAGCAAATGTTTATTTTTGGCTGAACTGTCCATTTTAACTGTTTGTATAATAGTTTAAGTGCTTTTCCCAGTAGTCGAGTTAACAGAAATCCTTTTAGCATCTCTACTAGTGTTAATTTTGTCAGCAAATTTTGATTTAGATTTAATTTCTGTTTTTGTGATGCGAGGTGCCTTTTTTGAATGATTTTCTATAGAAAATATTTATTTTACACCTTAAGCACTACTGTGCTTTGTTTTTTAACATATCGCTCTGTATACCTACAGTTAAAATCAAAAAATGGAAAGAACACCCGACGTCATGCGCTCCAGCATTAAGACAATTGATACAGTGCTTGCCTAGCAATATAAAAAGCTCAGCACATTGACATTTCGCTTCACGTTTTCTGAACTGAAAAGCTCATTCGTTGTGATCCTTAGTCTTTTCACTAAAATACCATTTCATTTTAATCATATTTTAATCTTCTGAATTGTTTGTAGTTTTAACCTAGTTTTAGTCAAATACATTTCATAAGATTATATTTGACTGAATTTAGCTGACTAAACTCTAATCTGTTTAGTTAAATCATAAATTTTAGTGACATCAGAATTTGCCTAGTTATGCTTATCTTTACAATTTCAAAGCTTATTATATACTCCTGGAGAACACGCTTATGAACATGAACGATATTAGGGTTTGAACAATACAGGCCTAGATTTCAAAGTTGTGGTGTACCATTAAGTCTAAATAAAACGCCTCATGAAATGCTTTCTTTATAATAAACCAGCTGTACATAGAGTTCTTTACTCTTTCAAGCAGATGTATTTATTGAAATAAATCTATTTTAATAAATTCTACTGTGCTGAAGACATTATTTAAGTTTATTATTGTGCACTGTTGATTTAAAAACAAATTCACAGATAATAGGGTTAGTGTTACCAATTGTGTGATCAGATGGAGTATTTTAAAGGGGAAAAGAATCGTAGAGTTAGAGATGTCACGGCAATGAGGTTCTTAAACCGGTAAAAGTGTGCTGTTGCCAAAGTGAAGTTAAGTTGTTTTCTGTTTCTGTATAGGACCGATGTTTTTAGTTTAGAAGTGTATATTTTGTGTGCTGGCCTATTTAAAGCAGTTTAAAACCACAGGCATATTACTAAAACCAAATCATCTTTAAGGGTGAAGATCAATCTCAGGGTTATCGGTAAGCATGATCTAATGTCATTCTTAAGAACAAAAAAAAAACTCTTAGCATTAAGTTTCAAGTACACTTCAGATTTATTTATACATGCTTTTAGCTTTTCTTCTCCACACATGACTCTAGCAAATGATTGCTTATGTTGCGAAGCCTAGAAGCAAACACTGTATCAACAGTCTTAAAGGGCCGTGAAACCCCCTTGTTTCAGCAGGGTTTTTTCCACACCTCTACTTTGGAAAAAGTCAGGAAAGTGGGCGTGTCCAGCTCTGTTTAGGGGGGAGTGTCGGAGGAGCAAAAGAGGGAAAAATTAAAAATTTGCATAAAAATAGGAGTGTCGGTTTGGACACATGCTGATTTTCACAGAGGCAAAACACCCACACACACACACAAGACAGCGCCTGTGTTTACATGGACATCAGTAATCGAATTATTTGACAAACTCTTAAATGGTGGACTTTAACTGCAGTTTGGCTCTTTCATTCAGGAATTTCATTCATGCCCCTTGTGACAAACGATATATTGGATTCGAGGAACTGCTCCACCAAGGAACAGGCGCACACACCAAGCTTACACATGAGATTAAATCTGACTTGGTCTTTTAATAAACTTTTTAGTTTTGCCTTTATTCGTTGACAAAATTCTCATTTTTGTCAGTTTTGGTCATTTAAACAGATTTTTATTTAGCTTTTGTGCTAGTTTTTGTTAGTGGAAAAAGTGAGATTGATGATTATTATAATAAATTTGTCATCAAAAGTAACACACTGATCTGCTTACACTGTGTTTTTGAAGCAAGTGTAATAAGTGAGATGCTGTGCGTTCACAGGACTTGCTGTCTCATATGCTGCATGTGGACCCTCATCACCGATACACCGCAGAACAGGTACTCAAACACTCGTGGATCGCCTGCCGGGACCAGAACCCACACTTTCAACTCACACGCCATGAAGCACCTCATTTGGTTAAGGTATGGCTCGTGATTCGTGAAATTACAAAGATGCTTCACCTACAGTTGAAGTCAGAATTATCAGCCCTCCTGAATTATTAGCCCCCTCTGTATATTTTTTCCCCAATTTCTGTTTAACGAAAAGAAGATTGTTTCAGCACATTTCTAAACATAATGGTTTTAATAACTCATTTCTAATAACTGATTTATTTTAACTTTGCCATGATGACAGTAGGGGTGTAACAGATTAATCTACTCAAAGTTCGTTATGTATTACGGTTTTAGGGTCACGGTTTTGGTACAGTACGTTTTGTGCTATGCTTGGAAAAAAATACCTACAGAGCAATTCAAACAACAATAAACATGTTTACTGGATAACAAACGCCTGACAATGCAACAGATTCACACATATGACTGTAGATGTGCATGTTCTCGCATTCATTAAATAAAATTATGGAATTTAGAAAATTGTATGTTTAAATAAATTGCTTAAGAAAATAAAGGGAAAAAGCTTACATTTGAGTCAGCTTGACTCAACCAATTATGCAGATAATAATTATGTCAACACATCTTAATAGTTAAGCACTTTTAAAGTATTGATTACTTCTGGTTACATTATACTTTCATTATTAAGACAACAACGCTTTTTTATTTATGATTTCTATATGATTTTATTATGATTCCAGAGAGATCCATTTCACTCAGCGCCATCGTAGTGAATGAGACTTAGGCAAAGAGAGTGTTCGGCTCTTCTCTCTTAATTCAGCGGGTACAGTCAGTCAAGCAGACAGCGGGTAAACGGAGTGAATAGCAAGAGTCATTGGGTGCGGAAGAACACCCAGAAAGAGCGGGACTTAAGTACCAGACCTGTTGTATGTCCACGTCTGTATGGGACACTTCTGGGTCTGGACACAGACTTTGATCTGCCTATTAGTGACCACTGATCTAGGCTATCTTTACAACAACAACAAAAAACAAACATTTGTTATGTTTTTGTGTCTGTCTGAATTTATATTGAGTGTCTGTTGAAACACTGACAGCAATGCGCCGTGATTTGGCCTCACCTGTGCATTTGTGCCATGCTGAAACACACAGAAACCCCACACACACACCGACATGTAGGGATGCAACGATTAACCGGTTTCACTATTAACCGCGCTTTAATTCATTACAGTTAATAAATCGTAAAGGCTTCTCAACACCGCGTTTCTGCACAGAACAAAACTGCAGCAACTAAACAAAGTTATGCTAACTGTGTGCTAGTTTGTTCACCGAGACTAATAACCACGCACACTGGATTAATTATGACTAAGTCTATTAACTAAGACAAGCTCTTGCAAGTTCATTATTTCCAATAGAGGGGCGAACACAAGACGCACTCACGCTTTTCAGGCACACTAGTTAAAACGGGGGCTTTTGTAAACTGTAAACAGCTGAAGTTTGAGAAAGAAGCAATGAAAAGTACACAGGTTTGCAAACCCATTTAAAGTTACAAATATTGGCACCGATAAGAGTGATAATGCGGTGAATATTGATCCGCCAGCCGAGATCTATCAAGTGTTTTCGGAGGGAGTGCAGGAAGACTCTGAGTAAATCGGCTGTCTAATGGCCTGAATCTCGATGCGTTGCATTTACTGCTTGTTCACCGCAAATAGACGCTAAATGTAAAATCTAACAGTGTATAGTTCAGGGGTGGCCAACCCTGTTCCTGGAGAGCCACCTTCCTGCAGATTTCAGCTGCAACCCATATCAAACACACCTGCCTGTAATTATCACGTGGTGTTCAGGTCCTAATTAATTGGTTCAGGTGTGTTTGATATGGGTAGCAACTGAAATGTGCAGGAAGGTGTCTCTCCAGGAACAGGGTATAGATCTTTGCTAAAGAGGCTTGACTTTACTAAGTTTAGACTGAAACTTCGGCTCATGACAAAGAACTGTACTGTGCAGGTGGTCTTTGGGAAAATTGCTGGTCTGCACCGCATATATTGGGCGGCTGACTCACCTGCTTTTTCTCCACAAACACAGAAAAATTTAAACAACAAGACTGAGCATTTAAAATGACACAAACATTCATCTTGAAATTATTGCACAAATATCAACAAGTGATAACAGAAGTAGTTAGTTGTTTCTGATTTTTGTTGGTTCTGATTGATGTTGTTTTAAAATATAATACATCTGTAATATACAATTTGCAGTGGTGCTCAATCTTTTTTGGTGGAAGCTCCTAAAGTGTGTCTTCTGCAACAAAGCAGTTCTGCCTTTGTACGCTTACAATTACCTTTGCCATCCATTGCACACACAAAGACCCGTCCAATCACCTCTTAGTATGTAAATCTGTTGTTGACACCATGTTTCCTTACATGTGGGTAGGGATACAACAATTATAGATTTTAGTTGTACAGTTATACTCTGAGAAATAATCATGGTTATCACGATTATTATGCGTTCCTTCATTTCTAAACACCACTATACAGTAAATCTGTAATATACAATTTGCAGTGGTGCTCATTCTTTTTTGGTGGGAGCTCCTAATTTTTTTTAAGTTAATTTCAAGCGTTGCATTTGACAAATATTATTTTTTTTTTATTTTATTTATTCATTGTTCTATCATTTATTTACAGTGTAAAAATTGTGTTATTGTGTCTAATGTTTGTTTTCAATATTATTTTGTGCTTTATTAATTGGTTACTGAGCAGCAATAAATAACACTTGAAAATATAAGGAGTTTTCATGTCATTTTCTAAACTAGTGGTGTTTAGAAATTAATGAATGCATAATAATCGTGATAACCGTGATTATTTCTCAAGAGTATAATCGTACAACCAAAATCTATAATCGTTGCATCCCTACCGACATGTAAGGAAACGTGATGTCAACAACAGATTTACATACTAAGAGGTGATTGGATGGGTCTTCGCGTGCAATGGATGGGAAAAGTAATCGTAAGCGTACAAAGGCAGAACTGCTTTGTTGCAGTTGTTTTATTAACAAACAATTGTTAATAATGTATATTCTGAACCGCGGATCACAGAGCGCACCGAACCATGGGAGAACAACAGCACGATACATTTTTTTGCTAAGAACCTTTGCATCCCTAGATGACAGTACATACTACTTTGCCAGATCATTTTGAAGATACTGGTATTCCGCTTAAAGTGACATTTTAAAGGCTTAACTAGGCTAGGCAAATCATTGTATAACGATTGTCGAAAAATTCTAATTGAAAATAAATATTGCTTAAGGGGGCTAATAATATTGACCTTAAATGTTTTTTAAAAAATTTAAAACTGATTTTATTCTTGCTGAAATGAAGCAAATAAGAATTTTACAGAAGAAAAAAATATTATAGGAAATACTATGAGAAATTCCTTGCTCTGTTAAACATCATTTGTGAAATATTTGAAAAAGAAAAGATTTCACTGGAGGGCTTATCATTGTGACTTGAACTATATCTGTGTCTCATAGGGAGCGATGGCCGCTACATACTCTGCACTGAACCACAAGACGTGTAAGCCGGTTCTGGAACCCGTAGCTGCCTCCAGTCTAGCTCAGCGCAGGAACATGAAGAAGCTGACATCTACAGACATGTCGTGAAGAGCCTGACGTCTCAAACAGTGGCATTTTCTCCAGTTCTTGTACGTGACGCTTCAGGGAGTGCAGGCATTTCAAAGGAAATGCATGAAAGCCCTTCTGTTTCTCTCCGGTAGAGTGAAAAAAAACACCAGCTCCATCTTTCCATCGTGTCTGAAGTGTTTCACACATTAGCCGAATGTTGGAATGTCCTTTCCCCCTCTGCACCTGGTGGAAACCCAAATCTCGTTGAGGTCGTCTAGTTTGCTGGTAGCCTGTTTTTAGGACAATCCAACGCAAGAATCAAGCCCGTTTCTCACTGCGGTTCTGTAAATCCTCCACGACTTCTGAATACATTACTGTTGAAACGATGTCTAGGTGTCTAGAGAACTGTTACTTGTCCTAAAAACAGGCTTGGATCGATGACTTGCACGTTTCTCAGCTGTTTATCCACTTGTTGTCCTGTTAGTGTTGCGAACCACATGGCATTACCTCAGAAGCACTCAGTGTTACGCGTTTCTTTAGCTTGATGTGTATATATAAAGTCATTCATCATGTTTGTGTGGAACCTTGAGCACATTTGCACTGAGGCTTGGCAGGTCGTTGCTTCTGCGAGACGTTTCCTCTCCCTCCATCTGTTCCTGTCTCAGACCGCTCTTTGCCTTTTGTTGAATGGGAGGTACACGAGCAAAGGGTGAAGAAATAAATCTATATTTATAAAATCGAATGAGGTGAATGAATGTAGATGAGACTGAATCCATGAAATCACATCTCTCTCTCTCTCTCTCTCTGCTCTGGATGGAGGGCGGGAAAAAAATGATTCCATAAAACTTTTTAAAGACATTGTGGAAATTGTATCATATTGTATTTATTTCACTTATTTTTAAGATTTTATTTTTCTTTCAGGTGATGTACATATTGACATTAAAGAACATTATTGACATGATGTTTGCTCTTGTGTGCTTTATTTCAGATAAACTACAGAAGAAAATCTCTAGAATTGTGTTGCTTTTCTTCATTTTAAATGCAGGAAAACCTGGAAAAGGTCATGGAATCTTGACATGGCATTTTCCAGGAAAGGTTTTGGAAAAACAGAAAAACCCACAAGGTTTTGGAAAAGTCATGGAAATTACATTTAGTCATTTAGCAGACGTTTTTGTCCAAAGTGACTAAAGGTGCTTTCACACCTACACTTTTGTTTCGGAACGTATCTCGTTTGCCCAGTTAGCGCGGTTCGTTTGGCATATGTAAACAGGGCAATCGCGCTCTGTTCCGCGCCAAAGTAATCGCTCCGAGATCGCTTGAATGAGGTGGTCTCGGCTCGATTGAAACGAACCCTGGAGCGGTTTGATTGCAGTGAGAAAGCAATCCGATCCGAGCACGGTTATATCACAGTGTTTTATGGATATGTATAAGGCTTACGGCTATATGAAGAGAGAATTGTGAGTAACGCCGGAAGTTTCGCGAGTCTCCGGATGCCCGCAAACGAGTGATGATCTCCCGGTAATCTCACGTCTCCCTCCCGGTCCTCAAATAGGCATCGTCGCGCATCTTTCTTACCCCTCCCCACCGCATCTCTCCTCAGACACGTAGCGCGCGCACCCTGTCAATTACCATCAAACCACCACCTCTCCTGACAGCTGAGCGGGACGCTGCAAAATAAACCCTGACACTCTGACCAATGTGAGGAGAGTTTACTCGCACGTGACTTGTTTTAGCTCTTTGTTCCGATTAGAAACTTTGCAGTGTGAAAGCGAACCGCTCCAAGAGCAAAGAGCAACAATGTAACAATTGTAATCTCTGTTTCGAAACAACTGAATCGATTCACAGGTGTGAAAGCACCCTTAAGCTGTGGTCACACTAAAGCTCGGCTTACGAAATTCTGTGATATGGCGCTTTCAAAAGGAGTGGTATTGTGGCCCGTTTCCACTGAGTGGTACGTTAGGGTTCGGTTCCGAACCATACCCCTTTTTCGGCACCCTTTCGAAAGGGTACCAAACCCGAGTAAGGGTACCAAAAGGCGGAGCTGGACACTCAGCTCAACCCTATTGGTTTACAAATATACGTCATTCGCTTATGTGACAAGCCAGAATGAAAACCAAAGAGCCGCCATGTTTAAAATACACAGCTGAGAGATCTTTTACAGTGTAATTATATATACATATAATAACGAGCCATGATCAACAGGGCTCAAACAAACCTTGTCGTCGTCTTGATGAACAACCACAAAGCCAAAAAAAGAAGAGCAAATCTACCCTGTGCCCCTTCGTTTTTTGCGAGCCAGTCTGAAGCATGAGCGGATTCGCTTTCTTTCTTGCACTCGCATGCATGTCTATCCGCTTGTTAAATGGTGATGTGTTTGTGACGTATGTAATACTGTTTCCGGGTCCAAGCCGCCATTCATTTGAGTGGAGAAATCATTCGTTTATGATCATGTTTTATTCCCATCACACATTAAAGTTAATTTATATAAAATCTTCGTGTACACAACAATCTCTGGGCTTGCTGCATAACAAATACCAAAAATGTAACAATTATTTAAAAAATTTATCACTTTCTGGCTATTGGATATTAGGCATGGACATATATACTGCGATCGTGATTTTCGAAAGCATTAAATCGCTTTGCAAACGTTTATTATTACCATTTCATGAGTCTCCCCATTCAGTTGAATAAAGCGCTTGGACCCGGAAGCCGCTTCGCGTGACGTCACACTTAACAAGCGGATATCTGAAATAACAAACTTCTTGAGCTGATAATAACGTGCACTTGATTATTGACGTGCTTTTGAAACCCGATCCTGTCAGAAACTGACAAAAGCGAGAGTGAAGCGCGACAAAACAACGGAGTAGTTTGTTTTGCAAAAAGTGTGAAGCTGACTACTGTATGCGCTTACAATTCTGTAATTGTGTTTTGCTCCTTGGGTGTAAGGTTTTGCTACAGTAGTTGTGGGTAAAGTTTAATTTTAGTGGGTAAGCATTCGTAAAAAACTAAACAATATGACTAGACGTTAATAAAAGGGAGCGATTGCTCCATATTTTAAACTTCTTATTTTAAATGATCTTCTATTGGTCTAACGCAATCAAGTGGTGAAATTTCGCAGATAAGAATTCACCAGGCTTGAACTTTCGAATGCAGTGAAATGCGAAACTTGTCGCACGTGCTTGCGTTTCTGGTCTGCTGCATTCGAATGCATATGAGTGGAAGTCTATGGAGCTACAGTGGCTTTACAATAGAAGTAGTTTTACCTACTTTTACTAGTTTAACAAACTATTACCATCATCTAAAATTAGTTTGACAAATATCTGAATACTGGAATGGAGGTTAGTTGTTTTTACTACTTTTCTTGGCCAAAAACATGGTAACTAAAGAGATTGTTTGCGCGTTTTATGACATGCTGTAATAAATTTAAACGTTCATTGTTTTCCTATGATTTACCACGTACACATAGACATTACATGAAACATTAGGTCATGAATGACTCCTAAAATGAGTCCTAAAAAAAGTCTTGGAATTTTTGTAGTAAAAATGTGTATGAACCCTGTAAACAAGTCATTTGGACTTTCATTCATTCATTTTCCTTCAGCTTAGTCTCTTTATTCATCAGTGTTCGCCAGAGCAGATTGAACCAACAACTTATCCAGCATATGTTTTACACAGCGGTTGCCCTTCACAACCCAGCACTGGGAAACATTCACACACACTCTCATTCACACACATACACTACAGCCAATTTAGTTTATTCAATTCACAAATACCACGTCTTTGGAGTGTAGAGGAAACCCAAGCGAACATGGGGAGAACATGCAAACTCCACACACAAATGCCAACTGACCATGCCGGGACTTGAACCAGTGACCTTCTAACTGTAAGGTGACAGTGCTAACCACTGAGCGACCATGTCGTCCTATAATTTGAACATTACTTAATTTTTTGAGCCTCAGTACAAGATTGGACTCAATTTTGCCTTAAGAATTGTTCATGTTTAAATATTCACATGACTACATCCTTATTCTGCAGATTTGTCAGATGTACATCAGAGATGAGGATCTCTCTATGGCAGGGGTGCCCAAACTTGGTCCTGGATGGCTGATGTCCTGCTTAGTTTAGCTCCAACCTCCTTCAACTGACTCGCCTGGAAGTTTCTAATATAACTAGTAAGAGCTTGTTCAGGTGTGTTTAATTGGGGTTGGAACTAAACTGCAGGACAACGGCCATCCAGGGAGTTTGGGCACCCCTGCTCTATGGCATACGTGTTATGGATACTTATGACAACTCCGTTAGGTGTTATTTTAGCAAACTGACATGAGCAAATGCAACATAACCTCCCTTTGTCATGACAACTTGACATTATCAATACAACATAAAATGTCATAAACACAAATGTCATGTGGCCATTATATTTGTGTTGTGATTTGTATATTTGTCATTAATATTTTTCTGGACCTCGACTACAAGTGGTACAAATTAAATTTGTCATTTGAATGTCATTAAATGTATATAAATATTAATGACACTTTAATATTTGACAGAACGATGACACTTTTAAGAAGATATGACAAATTTAGTTTGTTCTTCTGAAAAAAAGGATCTGAAAAATATTTATGACATTTATAATGTCCTCATTAATTTTAATCATGAATAATAATTTAAACTAATCTTTTGGATTTCATACAGCAGCTGTCCCCCCACTTAAAATGTCCACTTCACCCCTGCCTACACTGCAAATTTTAGATAGTAGATTTAACTACCTTGGGGTTAAAATTAACACTCCCTTAACATTGTCAACACCAAGAGAGTGTTAATTAGCAAACTCTTATAGTGTAAAATATCTGTTAAATTTCCGAAAAAATACCAGCAGCTGTGGTTGCCAGAATCTTTCTGTGAAAAACAAGGACGTTTTATATAATTGTATAAATTTACAAAAAATAACCATATTTCATGAACTAATACAATGTTCAGTTTACAAAATCATAGCTTAGTGCAAAAAAATGTAAAGTCTTCAGATACAATAATGTTTACATGTGTGACTGCAATTAGCAAACAGATTTTGACTGCATTAGTAACTACACAGTTACCTTTACACAAAAGAAGATGCAGCATAACATCAAATACTCTTTAGTTCATCTTGGACTTGAACAGAGATGCTATTATCCTCCACAATGGTGACACAAAAACCGTTTAGCTGTTTATCTTTTTTTTTTTTTTCATTTTTAGATTTTACGGAAAAATACCAGCAGCTGTGGTTGCCAGTAATCTGCTGTTTTTAACATTCATAAATTCAGTTTACAGAATATTTCTGTTAAAGCACATTCAACAGTCTGTATTTTTTATCGAACTCACACTGCAAATTTTAAATTTGGTAGATTTAACTACCTTAGAGTTAAAATTAACACTCCCTCAGTGTTTATATGGGAACCACTATAAGTGTTAAAATAACATTTTTGAAAGTGTTAAAATTTTTAACACTCAGAGAGTGTTAATTAGCAAACTCTTATTGTGTAAAATATCTGTTAAATGTATGTCAAAATACTGGCAGCAGTGGTTGCCAGTAATCTGCTGTTTTCAACATTTTACATTCATAAATTCAGTTTCCAGAATATTTCTGTTAAAAACAAATCCCATAGTCTGTATTTTTCATTCGAACGCACTTAAGCCTTAAATTCCAGAGCAAAATCCTAACTAGTGTCCTCACTACAGAGGGCTGAACACTCTTAGACAATTAAGTGTCTAATTGAAGGAGGATTGAGAATTATTGATGAACAACTGTTAACAAGCAGAATCACTGAAAGACAGAAAAACACAAGCCAAAACCAAAGATGAAATCAACTGAGAAAAAAAAAAACTCTAAATAAAATAATAATCAATAAAAATAAAACAAATTACACAATTAAAAAAAAATATTTTTCAACATCTTTAAAAAAAAAACTCATCACATTAAACAACTTATCATGGAGCTTCACCTATTACTGACCTTTGACTTTATTTCTGTCATGTGAACAAAAGCTCTTAATGAAATTTGTTGTTCATTTGAAGTCACCATGATGGAGGACAGAGTCTGCTTTAGTTAGGCTCTTTAACTTCATGCTATAAAAGGCTTTTATTTTGACTGCTATAGTTAGTGTTAGTTACACTATTTACACATATAGCATGGAATGCCAAAAGAAAATTAAAGTGTCAGTCTGAAGAGATTATTTATAGTATCATAGCCATAATTTCCTGCTTGTTTTTTAATTCAGTATCATATTAGTTATGTGTGAGAAATAAATAATATGCATAAATGAAACCACTGAACCTCCAATAATTAATTACTTTATAACAGGTTTAAAAACACCATTTACAATGAGAATGTTTGATCAATGGCAGAACTTAAAAACACACAGACATCAACAATTAGTCTTTGAATCTCAATAATGGTGACAAACAAAAAAAAAGTAAAAAAAAAAAAAAAAAACTTTACTGAAATATCACCTCCCAAAAAACAACACAAAATAAAGGAAAAGAAAGAGATTGTAAGAACATAAAGCTTCATAATTTATTCATGCTGCAATGCATGCTGGGAGCTTTGTACTATGCTGGCACCCAGCATGCATTGCGGCATGAACTATGCAGCTTTTTTTTTTTAGCAACCACAGTTGAGGTTCATATCCTGATTCTTGATGCCTGTGTGTCATAGTAATCAAGTTGGAGCTAGATTGTTTAGTGCATGACACTCTAATTATTAATTGCATCCTAATTGTTTGATGAATCTTCTATGAAGTGCAGCAGAATGCCATTAGTATTGTCCCATGTATTTTTAATACAATTATATTTGGATATTTTATGAATCAACTTATTAAACACCCGATATTATATCAATAACAATTAAGCATAAACAGTGTAGTTTCTCTTGACCTTCCTTGCTATAGCTGATGCGATTCAGAAACACAGCTATAACAGTCAGAGAACCATTAGTATACAAGAGTAAAGCTTCAAGAGCTCAAATAAGCAGCCTCTGATCTCTATGATGGTGAGGTCAAATGAAATATTTTTAATAAAAAAATATAAACCTCTGTTCATTGTCAAATATTCTTACAGAAATAAAGTCAAACTGTAATCAGTGAAGCTGCTTATACTATATTTAATGGAGTTGTTTAATCCTCTGTTTTAATTCAGTTGGTTTGATGTAAGGCTGTGTCTGTAGTTTTAGTTCTTCCTTCAATTTCTTACTCCTTCAGTCATTGTGCTTGTTAACAGTAGGTGTTCAACAGCAGGTGTCTGAATTCACTTATTTGTGGTCATTCCCTCTGTCTAGTGGACTAAACTAATTGACCAATTTAAGGGCCAGGTGAATGAGGGTGTGGCGAGATTTCAGACACTCTGATTAGTTTCTCAAATACAAGGGTTTTCTACAAAGGTAAATACATGTATGACAAGGAGGCAAATCAGCTTCTAACGCCGAGAGGGTTATTTTAGCTTTATCTAACTCTAGAATTTTAACACTTTACTCTAAATTACCACAACACTTGAAATTTAACACCAATGAATTTGCTGTGTATACCACATCTCTTTGGATTTGTGAGGGAAACTGGAGCACGCAGAGGAAACCCACGCCAACACCAGGAGAACATGCAAACCCCACACAGAAATGCCATCTGGCCCAGCTAAGGCTCGAACCAGCGACCTTCTTGCTGGGAGGTGATCGTGCTACCCGCTGTGCCACAGTGAGAGCCTTAATTCGCATAACTTATATGACTAAATACTCCTTGTATCTGTCAAAGTAGTATTATCATACATCAGTACAAAACACAATATAAGGGTTAACATAATAGTAATCTAAATGTAATCCAAAAGTAGTCGATTACATAATGCGTGTCTGTGTTGTAAAAAATACGTTTTAAATCACGATCCTTTTGAGGAAATTTTTATTCATTTATTTCTTTTTTTTCATCTGTTGTTGGCAATTGTAAGTTTATATCTTAAGTTTGTAAGTGCGGCCCCAACAAAATAAACGACCCCTCGCTCCGTCAATGATTTCTTAAATAAATAGGCTGCTCCAGCTCCTTGGTCATCTTGCTGTTAGATTCTGCACAAAGGGCTCAAAAGACAGCGATCAAAGTCCACGTTTATTAACCTAAAAATACAGGAAGCTGAGCTCGCACGTATACTACAGTGGTAAAGAAACACGGAGAGCATTAAGGGGTTTTATTTTTCCCACCTTTCTCTGATGACAGTTTTGAGCACAGATACAGATATGATGCCTTTATTCTTTGGCTTGTGCTTGTGTTACATCAGTGGAGCGCAGGTAAATATCATGGTCATTGTTTCGTGACGTAAAACACATTCATTCATATGTGAAGAGTGCTGTTATACCTGCTTTTTCCTTTCAAACGTGTTCACTTTGGGCCACAGAACGTTTACAGAGCAGTTTCAATACCAGACCAGGCTTATTTTGCCGAGACGTTTGATGAAGGTGCGCTGGACAGGTTGGTCTCTGTGTTCACAAATACTATTAAAACATTAATTATAGTGACTCTTCAATGTTTATAGATAGTTTCTCTTCAGTGTTTCGATTTCAGCAGTGACTTTTACATTTACTCCAAACTGAACTTCAAATGTGACAACCGAACTGAAACAGTTTTATTTTACTTGACTGTAAATTGTTGCTGCTTCACTTCATTTCTTTAGTTGAATCCTATTAACTTTCATAGTCATCTCAATCAATTAATCTGGCTAAACATTTGAAGTTAAACTTTGAATAACTTAAAAAAAATTAGTTAAAACCTGATTAACAAATTAAAATATGTTAAAGTAGCCTACCATGCAAAATGTCTGTTAAGTTGACTTTTTGTCGCTAATCTTTTTACAGTGTAGAACTTCGTCTATGTTGCAGCTTTGACAGTTTACATTATAAAAAGCACTATAGAAATAAAGATAAATTAATTAAATATATATGTAGTGTGTTTATTATATGTATTATTATGTCTTTATTAATCACTTTCTCATGTTTGCTTTGAAGAAAATGGGTTTTGTCCAAAGCAGTGGTGAAGCATCTCCGTTATAATGGTAGGAATTTTGTGAAATCTTTTTCGTTTACATTTACAGGATGCGTAATTATCATTTATTTGTTTTATTAATGAACAAATCACTTAGATGACACAAAATAACATTTAAATAACTAGCTGAAACATACAAAACAAATAAAAACTTTTGTAATTAAACGTTGTTTGAATATTGGGTAAAAAGTTAAATCATTTAGTATGTTTGGGTTGTGTTCAATTAATTTCAAATGTATGGTTAAGTTTGTTATTGCTATTTATTCATCGATCAACAGATTGATGTTTCTGATTGATTAATATTATCCTCAGTATCAATATAAGAGAGTTATTAAATATATACAGTGAATAACCATGAATTCACTTTCGCTGAATTCCCTGCTTGACACTTTTTGTTGACATTACTATTGTTTTTTTTTCTCTTTAGTTTTGCACATTAGAGTCTTATGTTACATCTAATGTTGATAAATAATGTTTATTGCTCTACTTTAATTTTGTGTGTGTAACCATGAAGGTGTTTAGTAGTTGTGCGAATGACACTGAGCACCTTCTAGAGATTACTGGGCTGCTTGTCTGCTTGTGAGAAAAGTTGTTTGTGATGTTGTGTTTTTGTCTGTGTAACAAACTTAGGTTGTGTAGATGTTAGTAATTCAAAACATTGGTGTATGACTAAAAGGACAAAATATGGTAATTTACCATAGAATTTAGAATTGTATTTTAAGTTCCTTCAGTGTTTGTAATGGTTAAATTTCGACAACTACAGCTGCTGTTTTTTACCATAATTTTTACATATTTGTTTTACAGTGTAGAAATGTGAAATACAAGCAGGATGAATACAAACATGCACACTAGCTGACAAAACTCTTGTCGTCTATCTATGTTTTAGGAACAACAAATAAAAACTTGACTTCTAGTTGATCATTTGGTATCAGAAGGGGCTTATATGAAAGGTAAAGGCCTCTAGATTATGCTTATCTTACCAAAATAAAATATGATCATGTCTTGATTTTTAATTATTTAATTAGGACAGTATGGTCTCGCTTTACTCAGACAAAATTTTGTTACTTAACAGAAACAATGTACAGTATAGAGTATAAAGTCATGATGCAGTGGAAAAAGAATGAATATTGTGTATGACTCCCATGAGCTTGAAGGACTGCATCCATACATCTCTGCAATGACTCAAATCACTTATTAATAAAGTTATTTGGAATTTGAAAGCATTGCAGGACTCCCAGAGTTCATCAAGATTCTTTGGATTCATCTTTAATGCCTCCTTCATCTTACCTCACACATGCTCAATAATGTTTATGTCTGGTGACTGGGCTGGCCAATCCTGGAGCTCCTTGACCTTCTTTGCTTTCAGGAGCTTTGATGTGGAGGCTGAGGTATGAGGAGGAGCGCTATCCTGCTGAAGAGTTTGCCCTCTCCTGTGGTTTGTAATGTAATGGGCAGCACAAATGTCTTGAAACCTCAGGCTGTTGATGTTGCCATCCACTCTGCAGATCTCTCACACACCCCCATACTGAATGTAACCCCAAACCACTAATTTTCCTTCGCCAAACTTGACTGATTTCTGTGAGAATCTTGAGCGGGTTTCAGTAGGTCTTCTGCAGTATTTGTGATGTTTGGGATGCAATTCAACAGATGATTCATCAGAAAAATCTACCTTCTGCCACTTTTCCAAATCATCAACTAGAAGTCGAGTTATTATTTGTTGCTCTCACAACTGGGATCAACAACAAGACTTTTGTTAGGCAGTGTACTGTATGTGTGGTGATTTCATAAATCATAACTTGATTTTAATATGAGTTCATTATGAGTTTTTATTGTAAGGATATTATACAGTTAGTCATTTGTTGTCATAATAAAGGTCTGATTTTGCAAGACTTATTTAGCAAAAAATGATCTGCTAACTGTAATGTATGTTATCTTTAACACAGGGGAGTGGGCTGTAGAAGAGTCCATTCAACCAAGGCTGTTGGGAAACAAAGGCCTGGTCCTCAAGTCTCCTGGCAGACATCATGCCATATCTGCATACTTGCGGAATATCTATCACTTTAAAGACAAACCTCTTATCTTACAGTAAGATATTTTGATCAAACAGCCACTTTCCTTAGACAGCAATTGCTTAACTAAATCTACTGTGCAGGTATGAAGTTTCCTTCCAAAAGGGGATTGACTGTGGTGGAGCCTACATCAAGTTGCTTTCACAGTCAGATGACCTGCGTTTGGTAACGTCTCGCAGCATTTCATGAATTAAAATACTGTTGTTCACTTGAACAATTTTAGCTTTATCTATGGAATCATTTAAGAGATTCATACAAAAATGAAAATTCATTCACTATTTACTCACCCTCAAGTGGTTCCAAACCTCTATCAGTTTCTTTCTTCTGTTAAACACAAAAGAAGATATTTTAAAGAATCATTTCTATGGAAGTCAAAGGTTACAGGTTTTTTTCAAAATAACTTCTTTTGTGTTACCAACTAGATGAATGAAAAGAGTGAGACGAGATGAACAAAATGAGCGTAATGATGCAAACAAGACAAATAAAACGAGCTGCATGAATGAAAAAAGTGAGATGAATGAAACAAGCAAGGTGAATGAAACGAGTGAGACCAACAAACAAAAGGAGTGTGACGATATAAACGAGACACATAAGAGCTAGACAAACTAAACTAACAAAATGTGCAAGATAAAACGAGCAAGATGAACGAAACAAGACAAATAAAACGAGCGAGACGAGCTTAATGAGCAAGAAGAGAAGAAAAAACAAGCGAGACAAACAATTAAAACAAGCTAGAAAATTTAAAGATGAAAGAAACAAGGGAGACAAACGAAACGAGTAAGATGAGCAAAATGAGAGAGATGAGCAAAAGAGCAAGATGAAACAAGTGAGACTAAATAAAATGAACAAGACAAATGAAACAAGATAAGCAAAACAAGTTAAACGAATGAACGTGACGAGCATGACAGTATGAATTATATGAACGAAACTAGTGAGACAAACGAAACAAGCAAAATAAGCAAGATCAGCAAAACAAGCGAGACAATTAAACAAACAAACGAATAAATGAGACAAATAAAACGAGTATGACAAGACGAACAAAATAAGGCAAGTGAGATGAACGAATGAATGAGACGACCAAAACAAGCAATATGAGATAAATGTGAAAAACTAAATGAGTCAAACAATCAAGATAAACAAAAAGAACAGACAAACGAAACGAGCAAGATGAACAAAACGAGTGTGATGAACAAGACGAACGAAACGAGTAAAACGAGACTAATGAAACGAGCGAGTTGAACGAGCGAGATGAGACGAACGCAATGACTGTGATGAGATGAATGAAACAAGTGAGATGAACAAGACGAATGAGATGACCGAAACAAGCAAGTTGTGACGAATAAAACGAGCGAGATGAACTAAATGAGATGAGCGAAATGAACAAATGAATGAGACAAGCATGATGAGGTGAACGTGAAAACAAAACGAGTGAGACAAGATAAACAAGACAAACAAAATCAATGAGATGAGTATTACTAGACAAACTAAACGAGCGTAACAAATAAAACGAGTGAGACGAGCTTAATGAGCAAAAAGAAACGAATGAAACGAGTGTGACAATATAAATGAGACGAAAGAAACGAGTGAGACAAACGAAACGAGTAAAATGAGCAAAATGAGAGAGATGAGCAAAAGAGCGTGATGAAATGAGTGAGACGAAATAAGATGAGCAAAACAAGTGAGACGAATGAACGTGACGAGCGTGACAGTATGAATGATATGAACGAAACTAGTGAGACAAACGAAACAAGCAAAATGAGTGAGATCAGCAAAACAAGCGAGACGAAACAAGACGAGACGATTAAACAAACAAACAAATGAATGAGACAAATGAAACGAGTGTGACAAGACGAACAAAATGAGGCGAGCGAGACGAAGGAATGAACGAGACGACCGAAACAAGCATGATAAGATGAAAAAAACTAAATGAGTCAGACAATCAAGATAAACAAGACAAATTAAATGAATGAGACGAGCATGACGAGACAAACGAAACGAGCGAGATGAACAAAGCGAGTGTGATGAACAAGACAAACAAAACGGAGTATTACGAGACGAATGAAACGAGCGATTTGAACAAGACGAGCGAGACTAGACAATTGAAATGAGTGTGATGAGATGAACGAAACAGGTGAACAGACCAATGAGATGAACGAAACAAGCAAGACGAGATAAATAAAACGAGCGAGATGAACAAAATGAGACGAGCGAGATAAACAAATGAATGAGACGACCAAAACAAGCATGACGAGATGAACGTGAAAACAAAACGAGTAAGACAAGATAAACAAGACAAACAAACTGAATGAGACGAGTATGACTAGACAAACGAAACAAGCGAGATGAACAAAACGAGTGTGATGAGATGAACGAAATAAGTGAGATGAACAAGACGAGCGAAACAAGTAAGGCGAGACGAATGAAACAAGCGAGTTGAACAAGACGAGCGAGACGAGACAAACAAACGAACAAATGAGATGATTAAAACAAGCATGATGAGACGAACAAAACGAGTGAGACGAATGAAATGAGCGAGACGAACAGAACGAACGAACACCAAAAGCAGTTTCAACTGCTTTAAATCTGAATGAGTAAATGAGGATGACATTTTCAGTTTTGGTTGAACTATAGCTTTAAAATGTGATACAAAATAATAATACAGTACAATAATATTACATTATATAATGACGTTGGTGTTGTCATTGTTATTTTAGAGCCAGTTCAGTGATGCCACTCCATACACAATTATGTTTGGTCCAGACAAATGCAGCAGCAATCACAAAATACATTTCATCTTTAGTCATCATAATCCCATCACAAGGACATATGAAGAAAAACATGCTCGCCAACCAGAAATGGACCTTAGTGACTATTTTACTGACCAGCAGGCGCATCTCTACACTTTGAGTGAGTAATCAGTAAACAACCTCATTACATGTTTAGTACATTAAAGAAACACTGTAAGCTCATTTTACAACTTCCCTAGAGTTAAACAGTGACAGTTACCATTTTTGAATACTACAGCTGATCTCCAGGTGTTGTTAGAGCACTTTTAGCTTAGCATAAATCATTGAGTTTTATTAGAACATTAGCATCTCGCTCCAACAAGCAATGTAGTTACATTGTGTACTAACATGATATGTAAAATTGCTATTTTTTTCATAATTATCAAGAAACTTTGCTTTACCATACAGCTAAAGCAATGATATTATGCAGCACTGTTCCCTGCTGACAAATCCAGCTTAAACCAGCCTAGGCTGGTTGGCTGATTTTTGCTGGTCGACCAGCCTGGTTTTAGAGGGGTTTAGGCCATTTCCAGGCTGGTTTCCAGCATTTTCCAGCCTGGTCTTACCTGGTCAGGCTGGAAAATTACCTTCTAAAACCAGCTTGACCAGTCTGGTTTAACCTGGATATAGCTGGTTTTGGCAGGACTCCCAGCTTGGCTAGGCTGGTCAAGCTGGTTTTATTTGGTCATCTCCCAGCCTGACCAGCTAAGACCAAGCTAGAAATAGCTAAAAACCAGCCTGGAAGTGACCAAAACCCCTCTAAAACCAGGTTAGCAGGTTAAGTTTGCTAGTTGGGGACTTTTTTCAGGTGCTGCATAATATCATTACGCCTGCAACAGCCATGGTACAGAAGCAAAGTTCCTTAATAATTACACCAGAAACAGAGTATAGTAGAAAATACCAACTTATATAATAGCAGATTATGTTGTTATTAGTAAACATTGTAACTACAGAAGAGTCAAGCTTTGAATAGAAACATTATTGAAACTTTTTTTTGATATCTTTAAATGATATGCTAATGATCTTATCCGATTCCCAGATTTATGCTAAGCTAAGCTAAAAGTGCTCTCATCAGACTCACAGATTGGTGGATTTACAGGTCAAATTGACCCATGTATCAACACTAGGGGAGCTGTAAAAGGAGCCTATTTCCATAAAAGGCGGAGGGATACTTTAATGATTTAGTATATACACAGTATATCTAACAAATACAGTCATCTGCATTTAAAGTTAGATTAAACAGCTCAATTTTTAATAAGAGATGTCATGTAAAGTGACATTTTGGTTGCAATTGTCCTTTATAGACTTATATCCTGACAACACATTTGAGATCCTCGTTGACCTGACGCTGATTAATAAGGGCAGTCTTTTGGAAGATATGGACACACCAGTGGCGTCTTCTGACCAAAAACAAGAACATTTAACAAATGAAGCCTCTGATCTAAACTTGGAGCAACATATGAGGTAAGCCATTTTATGTATATGAGGTAGGCCCATATGTACGATTTTTTCATTAAAATGTTCAAAAAACTCTAAAACGGAGGTATATATTTTGCTGCCTTATGCATTTACATTGTCCCAAATGTTTTGAGGAATGTTCAAATTCACAGTAATGAGACATTTTGACTTGTGAGACATACTGTGTTGTTTGTCACCATGCTAATTACACCATAAACACCAACGATGCTATAATACAGAGGTCACCAATCGTGGTCCTTGAGGGCCGGTGTCCCAGCAGGGTTTAGCTCCAACTTGCCTCAACACACCTGCCTGGATGTTTCAAGTATACCAAGTAAGACCTTGATTTGCTTGTTCAGGTGTGTTTGATTAGGGTTGGAGCTAAAATCTGAAGGACACCGGCCCTCCAGGAACAAGTTTGGTGACGACTGCTTTTATATGTTGAATTTTATTAGACTGCACAGAGCAGCATTATAACATGCTTCATGCTATCATTATACTTGAATTACCATTACAATTATATTTATAGTATGTCATGTTCAACATCAAACTACACTTTTGTTTGTTTTGAATACTCGGCCTCTTGTGGCAGAAATTAGAAACAGTGTATACATTATTTACATAACTAATTTGAGGACAAGTCTTTTAACATTTAGTCATTTATTTCTTTGAAATGTGCGCTAATATTCCTTGAAAATGGTGTTTGAATTGAGTACACTTATTATGTATGCATACTATACTGCATTTTAATAATAAGTATAGTTTCCTGTATTGAGTAATGTGCTTATAAGCTTAAACCTTTAGTCAGAGAAAAGGTTTATACTGTACTTACACTATTTAGATCACATGATTTTTTGTATAGGCCGCTCAATGGTTAGTACTGTCACCTTACAGCATAAAGGTTGCTGGTTCGAGCCTCGGCTGGGTCAGTTGGCATTTCTGTGTGCAGTTTGCATGTTCTCCCCGTGTTTGCGTGGGTTTCCAAAGACACAAGCTGTAGGTGAATTGAGTAAGCTAAATTGTGCATAGTGTATGTGTGTGAATGAGAGTGTATGGATGTTTCCCAGTGATGGGTTGCGGCTGGAAGGGCATCCGCTGCGTAAAAACTTGCTGGATAAGTTGGTGGTTCATTCCGCTGTGGTGACCCCGGATTAATAAAGGGACTAAGCCAACAAGAAAATGAATGAATGAGTTTGCATGTTCTCCCCGTGATCGCGTGGGTTTCCAAAGACACATGCTGTAGGTGAATTGAGTAAGCTAAATTGTGCATAGTGTATGTGTGTGAATGAGAGTGTTTGGATGTTTCCCAGTGATGGGTTGCGGTTGGAAGGGCATCCGCTGCATAAAGCATGTGCTGGATAAGTTGGCGGTTCATTCCACTGTGGCGACCCCAGATTAGGGACAAAGCCGAAAAAGAAAATTAATGAATTAATAACATCATGTTCATCATCAAACTACACCTTTGTCTATTGTGATTACTCGCCCTCTAGTGGCGAAATTTTCAGATACATTATTTACATTAACAAATATGAGTCTTTTTAACATTGTCATGGTGTTTGAGTTCAGGATATTTATTATAGATGTATAATGTACGGCATTTTAGTATTATGTTTAATGTAGTATTATGTCCTATTATAATCTGGCAGGGGGGAACAGATGAAAATTAGCCCTTGCTTATTTACAGTTTTACTGTTGATTAATGAGCATTGTCCCTGTTAAATAACTAAATAAATTTCAAGTTTCATATATTGAGGAATGTTCTTGACTCTTTTAAGTCAAGATCAAATGTTATATTGTACTTACACTATTTAGATCAAATGATTTTTGTATACTTACATTCATTGTTGCAGTTTGAAGAATGTACAAACAAGAGTGATTGTGAAACTGAAGAAAATTCCAGTGTTTAGCCGAAAATGACTTCCGACTTGTATAACTAAATTTAAAAAGAGGGTGTCAATTGGATATTTATGCAGTGAAACTTAAAATATTGATCATACAGTGTTTTAAATATCGATTAATGATTCATAAGCAACAGCACTTGACTAAATTTAGCATAATATTTAGTGTTATTTTATGATAAACTGTATTATGTTCTTATCTCGGGCTGCACAGTGGTGCAGTGGGTAGCACGTTCGCCTCACAGCAAGAAGGTCACTGGTTTGAGCTTCAGCTCAGTCAGTTGGCGTTTCTGTGTGGAGTTTGCATTTTCTCTCCATGTTCGCGTGGGTTTCCTCCGGGTGCTCCTGTTTCCCCCACAAGTACAAACACATGCGCTATGGGTGAATTGGGTTAGCTAAATTATCCGTAGTGTATGTGTGTGAATGGGTGTGTATGGATTTTTCTCAGTGATGGGTTGCGGTTGAAAAGGCATCTGCTGCGTAAAACATGTGCTGGATAAGTTGGTGGTTCATTCCGCTGTGAAGACCCCAGATTAATAAATGGACTAAGCCGAAAAGAAAATGAATGAATGAATGAATATTCTTATCTCTTAACACACACAAAACAAACTTTAGCAGAGGTCTAGTGTCCAAATGTAATTCGGGTTGAATGTTGATTTAGAGGCTCTACCTGTACAAGACACACATGCCTTAATCAATGTAGTACTTTAAAAGCACAACATTGTGGAAAAACTCAATTAGAGAAAAAGATGTTTTTAAAAATCTGATAAACCCTGAAGACAGACCCTGTAATGCTGCAATGTAAGTCAGTTCTATATGCTTTTGTTGAAATCATTAGAAAAACTTCATTACCCATGAGGCTGCACATAAATTTCCACCAATCAGAGAGTTGTATTGAGAAAATTGTGCCAAAATAGCTCCACCATCTTTCATAAAGCACTACAAATTTAACTCAAAAGTAGGTGAGTTTGTATTATGTGCACATAGCTGAAACAGACTGATAGTACCTTGGTCAGGAGGGAGATTTATATAAGATAACGTAAAAAATGTTAAATTTATGATTGATTATTAATTCATTGTCAGATAGTCATCATCTGTGTTTTTTATTTTTGGAACATTTGGTTTGTCCATTATTAGCCACTAGACCCCCCAAAACATGCAAAACAATTAGCAATATGCCTTTATTAATGTTTATGGGTATTTGTTTTCATCTTTGGACAGGTCAGATGGTGTGGACAGACAAAGAAACGATTGCACTGAAGCTTCAGTTTGTGAGGGCTCTTCTCGTCCAGCAAGTTCAGGCTCTAACAATCCGAAGAACCAACCCAGCACAAACACTAATGATAAGGTGTGCTTGTAAAAAAACCAACATACTTAAGTAAAGTGTATATTACAGCATATATTATAGTATTTACAACACTAATGAATGCTACTGTACGCTCACCGGCCACTTTATTAGGTACACCCTACTAGTTCTCGGGTTGGACCCCCTTTTGCCTTCAGAACTGCCTTAATCCTTCGTGGCATAGATTCAACAAGGCACTGGTAATATTCCTCAGAGATTTTGGTCCATATGGACATGATGGCATCATGCAGTTGCTTCAGGTATATCGGCTGAACATCCATGATGCGAATCTCCCGTTCTACCACATCCCAAAGGTGCTCTATTGGATTGAGATCTGTTGACTATGCAGGCCATTTGAGTACAGTGAACTCATTATCATGTTCAAGAAACCAGTCTGAGATGATTTGCGCTTTATCACATGGTGCTTCATCCTGCTGGAAGTAGCCATCAGAAGATGGGGAACACTGTGGTCATAAAGGGAATGGACATGGTCAGCAACAATACTCAGGTAGGCTATGGCAATGCTCAATTGGTACTTAGTGTGCCAAGAAGATATCACCCACACCATTACACCACCACCAGCCTGAACTGTTGATACAAGGCAGGATGGGTTCATGCTTTCATGTTGTTGATGCCAAATTCTGACCCCACCATCCGAATGTCGCAACAGATATTGAGACTCATCAGACCAGGCAACATTTTTCCAATTTTCTATTGTCCAATTTTGATGAGCCTTTGCAAATAGTAGCTTCAGTTTCCTGTTCTTAGCTGACAGGAGTGGCACCCTGTGTGGTCTTCTGCTGCTGTAGACTATCCGCCTCAAGGTTGGATGTGTTGAATGTCCAGATATGCTCTTCTGCATGCCTCGGTTGTAACTTATTTGAGTTGCTGTTGCCTTTTTATCAGCTGGAACCAGTCTGGCCATTCTCCTCTGACCTATAGCATCAACAAGGTATTTGCGCCCACAGAGCTGCCGCTCACTGAATGTTTTTATTTTCGGACTCTCTGTAAACCCTAGAGATTGTTGTGCATGAAAATCCCAGTAGATCAGCAGTTTCTGAAATACTCAAACCAGCCCATCTGGCGCCAACAACCATGCCACGTTCATACTCACTTGTCCATGCTTGTACTCATATGTCACCCTTCTTCCACATTCTGATGCTCGGTTTGAACTGCAGCAGATCGTCTTGACCATGTCTACATGACTAACTGCATTGAGTTGCTGCCATGTGATTGGCTGATTAGAAATTTGCGTTAACAAGCAGTTGTACCTAATAAAGTGTCCGGTTAGTGTATGTCATAGCATTACCTATAGTGAACTAATACACTGTAATAAAAGTTTTTAATATAGTAAACTGTGGTGTATTGCAGTATAATAAACTCAATAGTTGTATAAAATACAGTAATGGGAAATTTTTTTAAGTACTACTCAAGTACTTTATTATAGAATGGTTTTAAAACACTCTAGTATTTACTATAAATGACTATAATGTTTCTTTTCATCTCATTTGCAGTACATTATTATCTTTTGTGTTCATTTCTGTGTAGGACAACAAAGGAAAGCAGCAGTTCACAATGAGTCCCATTGCGGCTGTGGGTTTTGAGCTTTGGTCCCTTACTGGAGATGTGATGTTTGATAATATCTTGCTTTGTGATGATCTGGAAGTAGCCAGACGGTGGACAGAAGACACATGGGGCCAGAGACAGACAGTAAGATGTTCAGCAGATGTTGTCCAGGCCAAATGATCTTTAAAATACGCCTGGCAAAATTTGGTATGATGTCTAGAAAACACTAGAAAACAAAACTTTTGCCGTTTTGGAGACACATCGTCATTTGGCCATCACTATTTAGCTTTTGGCAAAGTCACACAAATGATTTCTTTCTCATTTCTTTTCCTGCTTCAAGCACAATAGATGTTCACCTACCCCCCAATGTGAATTCACTTTAGCTCTGTAAAGGGATAGTTCACCCAAAAAGTCATAATTTACTCAAACTCCGCTTGTTCCAAACCTGCTTGTGTTTCTTTCTTCGTTTGAACGCAAAGGAAGATACACTGAAGAATGTTCAGTAAAATTGACTTCCATACAGGCCTGGTTTGGCCAATCGGGAGGACCGGGAGAGTTCCCGGTGGGCCGGTCCGTGTTTTGGCCGCGAGGGCCGGTGTTTCTAGCTACTTGCATTCTCAGCAGTCGCACTTTTTTTTTTTTCATTAATTCATTCATTTTCTTGTCGGCTTAGTCCCTTTATAAATCCAGGGTCGCCACAGCGGAATGAACCGCCAACTTATCCAGCAAGTTTTTACGCAGCGGGTGCCCTTCCAGCCACAACCCATCTCTGGGAAACATCCACACACACATTCACACACACACTCATACACTACAGACAATTTAGTCTACCCAATTCACCTGTACCGCATGTCTTTGGATTGTGGGGGAAACCGGAGCACCCTGAGGAAACCCACGCGAAGGCAGGGAGAACATGCAAACTCCACACAGAAACGCCAACTGAGCCGAGGTTCGAACCAGCGACCTTGCTGTGAGGCGACAGCACTACCTACTGCGCCACTGCCTCGCCACTTTTTTTTTCATTTATTTATTTATTTGACCATAGCCTCACTCTTTTTATTCATTATTTTGACGCAGCTCCGCTCTTCTTATTTATTGTCTTGCAGCCCCATGAGCAAAATGCAGCCTGCAGGGTAATGATGATGTAACTATCATTATGACCACTCAAGTGTAATACCGCCAATGTGGTCCAGTGGTCAGCCCGTTGCGTTATGACTTTGTCGATCCTGAGTAATGCTTTTTTTTCTTTTTTTTTAAAATGATTATTATTGTTAAGACATATAAAACTGTAAGGTTGTAGAACATTTGCCCCTGGTTTCACAAACAAGGTTTAAGGCAAGTCAGGTTTAAACTGCATGTTTGAGCTGTCTCAACTTGCGGTGAGATGTCTTTAAACATGTCAGTGTAAGTTTTATTGTCTCCAGGTGCACACCAGTAATATTTTTCTAAGGCCATTTTTATAAATGTGTCTTAAATAGCCTAATTTAACTAAGGCCTAGTCCTGGCTTAATCTAAGCCCTGTTTGTGAAACTGGGCCTTGAAGTTCTAAAGCAGCTGTTTTCTTGAAAAAGACGTGATAGTATAATTAGAAACTGAATTGGAAACGACCTTATTTTAATATAGTCAGTCGTGAACTGAGGTGGGCCGGTCTAATGCTTGAAACTCCAGAGCTGAAAAGGAGTCCCACTCCGGCCCTGCTTCCATAGTATGATTTGTTCCAAGTAAGGATGTCAATGGCTGCTTTTTTCCAGCATTCTTAACAAAACATATTTCTTCAAAGTGTTCAAATCATACAAGCAAGGGTATAGAATTGGCATGGATGGAGGGGACATGTCCGAAACAACATCCACCTGTTACTGAAATTATTTTCAAACCAGTTATTTACTTCAAAATAAAATAATGCTCCGTCAACCCTTAGTAACCTACTTGTGCATGAGGGTTAAAGTCAAGTTTGCTATGTGTTCACTATAATACTATTAACCCAGGCTGTGCAATTAATCGAAATTCAGTTTCCATTTTGGCCTGCATGATTATGAAAAGGAATATTCAGGATAGGCGAGGCAGTGGCGCAGTAGGTAGTGCTGTCGCCTCACAGCAAGAAGGTCGCTGGGTCGAACCTCGGCTCAGTTGGCGTATCTGTGTTGAGTTTGCATGTTCTCCCTGCCTTCGTGTGGGTTTTCTCCGGGTGCTCCGGTTTCCCCCCTCAGTCCAAAGACATGCGGTACAGGTGAATAGGGTAGGCTAAATTGTCCATAGTGTATGAGTGTGTGTGGATGTTTCCTAGAGATGGGTTGTGGCTGGAAGGGCATCCGCTGGGTAAAAACTTGCTGGATAAGTTGGCGGTTCATTCCGCTGTGGCGACCCCGGATTAATAAAGGGACTAAGCCGACAAGAAAATGAATGAATAATCAGGATAAAACAGTTAAATTGCATCACACACCTCTCTAAATTTCTCTACATTCATACCTACTCGAAGCCAGATTGCAGTCAAATCATTTAAATTGAGTTTTGCAGCATGGAACGTCATTCATTAATTGTTATTTGTATTACTAAGAGTTTATTTAATATTATTAAGTACTTTATTCATGTTTTTACAAGCACAAAAACTATTTGCACAATGCATGCGCTCTAGGGATGTATGTCCTCACCAATGTCAAGAGTGACTCTACACCCTTACATACAAATATAACAAGTTTAACACCTATTGAGAACGAGTAAATGATGAGGAAATTAAGATATTTGGGTGTACTCTCTTTTTAATATTGTGGCAAATTAAAATAAATAGCAGTGCATAAATCACATCAGTTCACATTGTCCTCTTGTAGCCCGGAATGATTGAAAAGCTGTTGATGGCGACCGTCAAGCGGCCTTGGCTCTGGGGGGTCTATGTCTTCACCGTGGGCCTTCCCATCATCCTCTTCGTTAGCTTAATGTGGCCTGATAAGGTAAATAAATATTTGATCATTTTCATGCTCAACTGAACACATAATTAACTAAACGCTGTTGATGTCGCACGTTTCAGCGGTTTGGACCACCAGATCAAGACTATTACTATAAAAAAACAGACGAGCCCCAGACAGATGGACCTCAGGATGTGGAGGAGCACGTCACTCATGATCACGGTGAGAAAGCAGATAAAAGTATTTGCAAGACTACATTGCTCAATTCGCAGTGGGTAGCACGATCGCCTCACAGCAAGAAGGTCGCTGGTTCGAGCCCAAGCTGTGTCCGTTGGCATTTCTGTGTGGAGTTTGCATGTTCTCCCCGTGTTTATGTGGGTTTTCTTCGGGTGCTCTTATTTCCCTCACAAGTCCAAAGACATGTGGTGTAGGGGAATTGATTAAGTTGTTTGTAGTGTATGAGTGTGTATGGATGTTTCCTAGTAATGGGTTGCAGCTGGAAGGGCATCTGCTGCGTAAAACATGCTGGATAAGTTGGAGGTTCATTCCGCTGTGGCGAGCTCAGATTAATAAAGGGACTAAAGCCTGGTTTATACTTCTGCGTCAAGTGACCGGCGTAACCCAGGGCGCATGCAACGCGCGTAGCTGTGCATTTATACTTCTGCGCGCCGTCTCTGTTGGTTTGCATTAACACTTCCGAAACGCTAGTTGGCAGTGAGGTGTAAATGTTCCTCTGTGTCGAGTTTCTTCGCTGCTGTTTTGTTTTCCTGAACACTTCCGGGATGTACAAGTGACTCAAACTCGCTCATTTTGAGGCAGGAACCGGCGGACGTGCAACAACTTTAACTATGAGGTAAGCACAAAACAAAACTATCCATCCGGAGCTCCTTCACGGGACTCCACACTTGTAAACAATCGCTCCATCAGGCTCGCACCAGACTCGTCAGCGCTACCAAGCCGACCAATCACAGAGCTTGCGCTACGCGTTGTTGCGACGTGTAGTTACATTTTTTGAGAGGTGCACGTCAGCGACGCCGACGGCCACAGCGAGGGGCTATGCGTCAGCGCCGTAGCATACGCTGGCGTTTGACGCAGAAGTATAAATCAGCCTTAAGCCGAAAAGAAAATGAATGAATAACATTGCTCAATTCAGAATATTTAAGACTTTCTTTTTGTGTGTGTTGTCAGGTGAAAATCAAAGAGTCGAAACTAAAAGCAGAGTGGTGAAGAGGGCTCCAAAAAACACAGAAGTAACAAGTTAATAGTACAGTAAGTAACAGTAAATGTATCTCACACATGCAGGTCACATGTCGACAGTGCTAGGTAGGTTGCTTCAAAAAAGGGTAATTCTTCAACTATGGGCACTTTTACGTCCTTTGATCATAAATCCAAAAATGTATATAATTTTGTGCAAATTTCTTTTTCTTTGTCGAACTAACAATAAAACCTACTTTTAAAAAATGTACTACCTTTCTATTATGTTTTTTTAAATATTATTCAACCTCCTTTAATGTGTCAAAATCACTGTATTCATCTTGTAGCACACCCAGTTTTAAACTTCGACAGATGATTCATCTGAAAAATCTGCTTTCTGCCACTTTCCCGAATGATGAACTAGAAGTTAAGTTATTATTTGTTGCTCTTATGACTGGGAATGATGACAAATCTTTTGTCAGTTAGTGTATACATAGTGTTCTATTTATACACAATACATATAGTTTCAAATTTCAAAAGGACATATCCATGTGTGAGTTATTCTTCAACTACGGGCACTTTTATGTCCTTTGATCATATATCCAAAATCATATATCATTTTTTAAATTTATTTTTCTTTGTCAAACTAACAATAAAACCAACTACGTATCATATTTTTTTCATATTATTCAACCTCCTTTTAGTTGTCAAAATCACTGTTTTCACCTAGTCGCACACCCAGAGTTTTAAACTTCAACAATGAAAATGACATTTTTAAATATTATTTATCTGGTATCTATTAATGTATCTTAATGAAGCACTAGTGAAATATTTTAAATAGTTTATAGTTATTAATGTGAGACTATTGTCAATATTTTTTTCTTTCAAATTTTGCTGTCGCATAGTATCAGTGTCATTTCCACCACAACACTGTAAAGTCGCTATAAAAAGTTTGTGTGAAAGATTATTTAGGTGGTTTCTCTGAACATGAATAGTGCCATCTGAGAACATGTTCAAGATGGAGGGAATTTCAATTTGTATCAACAACACTTTTGCTTGAGGAAATACATTTATTCAATGTCATTTCTAAACATGCTGTACCGTCAAAGATGTTTTTAAAAACCAAACAAAATGAAGGTAAATAAGAGTGTTTTGTACACATGAAAGGCTAGCATCAATTCAAAGCTAATCGGTGAAGCTATTTGTAATTTGTAATATTTTGTAATTTGTAATTTCACAATAAACTGTTGAAATGTCATTTTCACCACTCTCATTTCCATCACCACACACATTTTTTATATTTAAAAAGTTCTCATCACACATTAAAAGTGTATTCACAGTGTATAAGTTCATGCCCTATTTAATATACAAATTCAGTTTATTTTTTTCTAATAAACTCTTAACCAAATTAATCTTACATTTTAGAGTGAGCAGGTGTACAGTTCAGCATACAACTAATTTATTTCATTGACAAATGTATAATTATTATATATATTGTGGAAAGATTGCTTAAACTAGATACAAAAATGATCTTAAACAATGTTTTACTGCCATCATTTTTTTCATTTTGAAATAAGCTGTGTATATGTTGTGGAATTGACATCTGTTCAGTTCACGATGGAAAAAATGTCTTTCTTCTTATCTTAAGGACAAAGCAGAAGTTTGTCCTCTTACAGATCTTGAAACTATACAAATTGTTTAAACTTATGAGGCTGTGTTACGTTAATAATGAACAAGTTTTTTATTCCCAACTTCACAAGGCTAAATGCGCCCGTAGTTGAAGAATGGTCCATATACAGTACACAGCTAGTGTTTTTTACCCTACTGATAAACTTCTAGTGAACGGTTAATGTGACGATTTTGGTAACACTTTATAATAACGACACACTATAAATAATTTATTAAGGATTAGCAAATAGTGAATTCATTTTCCGGTAAGCATTAACTCTACATTAATAAATGTTAGTAAGCAGGTAATAACTGCAGCTACAAATGCTGTATTCTTGACTTATAACCACATTTAAAATGTGCCTAATAATTGTATTTTCATACTTTGTAAATGGTTAATTTTTCATTACTAAATTAAGTATCGAATTTTTTACAAACCAGTTGTATTTAAGAGTAGTTGAGGGTTTTTAGGATCATTCAGAATGAGTTAGTAAATGATTAATAAACTATTGAAACTGACCGTCCAGTGATTTTGTAACAACGCTTGAATTGGGTTACTGAAAATGAAGTCATTCTGCATATACCCTATTAATTACATCATTAAAATCGTATTGCAATTATATTTTTAATGACTGTGTCTGAAAAATAACTCAGTTACTCAATAATCACTAATTTATTACTACTTGTAGCGACGCTACTGCCCAACACTGGTAACTGGTTACAGCCAACACTGCATCTCGACCAGAAATAGTTTATTCACTAATAATTGAGTAGGTTTTTCTTCATAAAACTTCTCCTGAAAACTTTACGTGTAATTTACAACACGTGCTTTAAGGCTGCACAATATATGGTTTCAGCATCAATAACACACTGTACAAATTATGAGGCCATTCACATATCACATCTTTTACGCATGGAAGTTTGTTAATTCCAATGGAGTTAAGTCCAGGTGCACCTCGTTGAAAACATCTCAACAATTTTCTCAGGACTGAATTATTATTTGTTTATACAATTCTATGAATGTTGTCAGGCTTAATTGCTAACTATCTCATTCTTTCATTTTCACAGCTCTGTCACAGATTTCAGCAGATATTTCATCATCGACTGTCAACTGATTAAATAGTATGAAATGCTGACGTTCTCATATCAGATACTCACGGAGCCCTTGATGAATCATTCAGGTCTCATTTTATGTGGAGGAGCAGTGATTGTTTCATCACTCAACTCTCCAGTAGGTAGATAGAAATAAAAATATTCTCTGAAGTGAAATGATCCTCGTTACAGAACATTAGTTATGATTTTCAATCATTATTAAAGGAGTTTTTTCCTAACCATCCGCAACAGCGACCCCTAGGGGTGTAACGTACGAACTGATCATGTCCCACAGTTTGGAATGCACGTGACCTGCGGATTAAAAACTGTTTTTTAAATTGTAGATTCTTCCAAGAGATTGCCTGCCGCATCATTCAAATCACATGTATGAAAGAATTTTGGCTTTTTTGTAAAATATAATGAGGTCGGAAGAAGCTGTGGTAGGACCTAAATGCTGTCTTAGGTTATTAAAGTTATTTTCTGTCAATGTTTGTTTAGCCTGCATTAATGCATTCAGTGAAATTCTTCGCAATTAAATATTAAAAGATCGGGATCTCAATTTAAACTCATGCAACCTAAATTAGACCTTTAAATGAAGATTTTTCTCACTTTTTAGTTAGTTACAAACAATCAAACAACAGAAGCACTATCAAAACTATTAAAAATATGCGACTGAACAGGCCTTCAAAGATGATACAGCTGGTAAAGAAACATGACACAAGTTTTATGTGTGAATTAGTGAATCCTTAATTGAAAATGAAACAAATAAATGTTGTTAAAGATAAAAATGTTACATTAATACATTTATCAGTACCACTTTACAATAAGGTTCATTAGTTAATGCATTTAATAACTCGAACTAATCATGAACAACATGTACAGCATTTATTAAGCATAATTGAACATTTACTAATGCATTATTGACATCCAAGTCCATGCTTGTTAACATTAGTTAATGCACCATGAGTTAACATGAACTAACAATGAACAACTGTATTTTCATTAACTAATGTTAACTAACATGAACAAATACAGTAGTAAATGTGTTGTTCATTGTTTGTTCATGTTAGTAAATACATTAACATTAACTAATGAACCTTATTGTAAAGTGTGACCCATTTATCATTATCAGCAACAGTAGCAAAGATCATTTTTTCACACTGTTGAATATTTAAATTTTTTTTAGGCAGTTCTTTCTTGATTTTTATTTTTAATAAAATATCAGGTTCTCAGTTCTGTTTGTTAAAACCAAAGCTTTCTTGCAGTACTGTTTTTGTAATAAATGGAAAGCAAATTACTCCTGGAAAGCAAAAAGGTCTCCTACCTTTTATGCTGATCCAAAAAAACGGTTGGATCCGTGACTAAGGGTGCTTTCACACTAGCACTTTTGGTCCTGTAAGGTCCTCACAGTTGGCCCAATGCCGGTGTCCACTGGTGGATGAAGGTTTAATGCCTGTTCGGTCTTTCCAGTGCACAATGTTGATTTACCTTAAATTTAACTCATATCTGATTCCAATTTTAGTATGAGGTGGTTTAGAATATTAATATATTTATCTTTAGTTTTATCTGACTCCAATCATAAAACATTAAGAAGATTATATCGATATGTAATTTAGATAAATGTTTGAACCTTTTGTCTTCACTAGTAACTATTACATCCGTTCATTAGGGTGCTCATGTCGCTCAGAGAAATCGCCTCGGCCAAAGGCGTCCCTCACGGTCACACTCCGGTCAGTCTTGAATATTAAACAGAGGTAATTGACTAATACTTTAGATGGCCGCTACCAGCGCGCTCGTTCTAAAATACTTTAGTTAGTCCCGCTTAGATGTACACCTTTGAGTTAAGACAATATAATTTCTAATTAGAGGTTATTGCATTAATATAAATGTACCCGACTACTGGACTCTATTGTAACTTTGGTTTTCACCAAGCTCATGGTTTCCCATATGAACTTAATTTAGAATAATATTACCTTCAAACAAAGGTCGGGTACCCAATCTAGGTTAGTCGTGCAACACCTTGTTGACCTAGACGAAAGTTAACACCCTTTCCACCAAAGTACACTTGAATCAATATCAAGAGTCAGTCGGATCCCTAAAACACAATTAGTGTGCCCAATGCTCCATCTTAACTGGATTTTAGTCCGTCTACTGACCTGACGCAAGACGTGCAGAAACAAGGATACAGCGTAATCTACTTGAATTAATAATTACAGAGTGAGCAAAATATTGTCAAACATTACAATTTATTAGTCAGGTAAATGTATTATGCCAATTCAATCAGTCAATTCATAAATGATCAATACAAAACATCAAATTATCAAAGACAAATCCAAGATGAAAAGATGCATACCTGACCTTTTACATAACGTGTAAATTTTACATAACGTGGAGCCTAGGCTCCATGTTATGGGCTGATCTGGGTAGGCAGAATCGCGCTGAGCCTTTCTCAAACCTTACCTTAAATAATCCAAGAATTCCCTCAAGGAAGGGGGTGTGTGCATAACAAAAGGCATTCACATTTAGTGCTGCCTATGGAAAAGTCACACCCTTCACAGTGGTTCAAAAGATGCCTGAAGTTATATATTTATTGTTTTGATTATGTCTATTTCTGCGAGACATTTCAAATGATATCAAACATGATAGATAAAGTCAGTTTGGTTAATCTAGAACATTCAAACATTGAAATGACCATATTTGTGAAATGGGGTGGATGAAGCCGAGTTTCAGCAGACTCAGATGCAAATGCAGCAGGAACTGGTTTTTCCCGCATTCCCACCTGCTGGGTTGTGGAGTCAATTGGCCCTGTTTTCAGCTCATGTTTTGAATTGTCAAAGACATCAAAAATATTTGTAATATTTCAATTCTTACAGTCCACACCCGGGTTCATTTGACGTCATAATACAGTACGTTTAGCTGGTGTAAACGTGTCTTCTGAACTCGGATGCGCACCTGTGAATCGTACCAAAGAGCTTAGAATTACCAAGAGGCGACACTCAAACAGCTGCTTTGTTTTTTGTTTATTTATTTAAAAAGCCCATTAAAGCTGAGATACAAACTAAAAGACGACAATAAACACTTATTATCACAATCATCAGCACTTTTAATAGTTTATTTTACAGACTTATAATATGCTGTTGTTCTATTGGAGTTTTCATTCCAAAATGGCCGTTTCCCAAATTACACTAGAGTGTCGCCTCTTGGTCTTTCTAAGCTCTTCGACTGTACCCAAATTTATAATGTTTTTCCATTTTAAAGCTTGCTTTCGTGACTTTTACCTAGCAATGGCCTTAAACAAAACAGCAGCTCGATGACGCAAGCGTACTGGGGTTCAGAAGGAAAAAAGACAGCGTGAACACAAACCAACAGAAGGTGGAAAGGGGGGACAATTGTACTTGGGTACAGTCCAGGCAATTGAGCCAAGTGTGAAATCCCTCTTAAAACTAATGATCCGACATCGCAGCTGAACAACAGCATAAAATACTACTGCAATAATCACCTCAGGTACTGATTATGTGCTTTATTCAGTGTGAAATGCTATAATGTGAGTTTGAATACCATTTTATGTGACATTTATTGCCATACTGAAAGCAGCAGCAGATTTACTTCAGAAGCTTATTATTAATTAGACAATATATCTTCTCATTTCTGCGCTTCTGAATAGCGGTATTTAAAAATTCTGCCACGTTACATCTGGTGCACACAGTTTAATTGCTGGACTCTTGTCATGTGTTTTTAGGACAGTAAATAAATCCATTTTCACTTGATAGTATGTGTCCTAATAGTGTTTTTAGCAATGTGCCACACACATGTATATCTGCCAACATCTAAACAAATGTGTTTTAGGGTTTCATGACCTTTTAAGTGCGGTTTATTTATAAACTAATTTCGAGAAGATCACGTGCTTATAATCAACACGGCTGGCTCCTTGTTAGCTCCGTAATCAGCCCTATTAGATGATTATGGAAGCATTATAAATAACCTGAGTTTTTCACTCCAGTTATCTTCGTCTTGAAGCTTCCCCCCTTTCCACCCCTACATCCTCCCACTTTTTTCTGATCGGGCGACAAGGTGGCCCAGTGGCTAGCACTTTTGCCTCACAGCAAGAACACCGCCGGTCCAACTCATGGGGCCGGTTGGTGTTTCTGTATGGAGTTTACATGTTCTCCCCGTGTTCGCGTGGGTTTTCCCCGGGTTCCCCGGTTTCCTCCCACCGTCCAAAAACTTAAACCATAGCCAATCAACTAAAACTAATTATCACCCAATACAACCTTAGTTTACACTTCTCACGGTGACAAGCAGAGGAGTTTCCCCAAGACCTACCTGACCTTGAATTCCCCTCTCGCCCTTCTAACGGGAGGGAACCCCGGGCTCGAGGATATTACGAGCTCAGGGCTCTCTCCTGGGACAGCATGCCAAATACGCTTTATTGATTATCAGCTAAGTGTGAACTCTTGAAAAATCGTATTAATTCACATTTAATTAAAACATTTAATTTCAGTTTGCTTTTTTTGTTGCTCAGCAATTAAACAAACACACAAAAGGTTATGTAAAATTAGAAATCATGATCTCTGTTTGAGGGACTCACCCCAACCTTCTCCATCATTTGTCCATCTCTTCTCTGATTGATTGGCAGGTCAAACCTAAGGTTACCATGGGCCATCGTTGGCCCACAGGTCGTAGTTTGGGCATCTCTGGTCTAATTCCTCAGAAAGAATGAGGTGTGTGATGAAACAATTTTCAGAAATTTGCTTTGAAGAAGTATGAACTATATAAGTGCTACACAAATAAAATAAAAACAATACTCATCTAAAATCTAGGAAGTACTTAATCCACAAAAAACATATGGGCATTGTTGTTTATTTAAGCTGTACACATCATTACAAAATGTACATTCCGGGTGTCGTTTGTATATACCAACATGTAGGAAGAGAAATGTATGGTGTGTATAATTATTCTGACACAGCACTTAAATTTTAAATACATCAATCCATATATATTCACACTGCTCCACCATATTCTATTCAATACTTGCATGTATCTGTATATAATTATCCTTCTAAATATGTTTGATTACCTTTCTATGTTATGCGATTACTGCATCACTTGTTTGCTTTTGCTGCAACTCATTTGAAGCTCATTTTAGAGACAAAAGGTTTGCTGAAGAATCAAGAAAATATCAGCGCAAAATTACAACAATGATCTTAAAATCTGCTTTATTTTCTTGACGCTTAATATACTTGAATCTTTATTTGATTCTGGGATAAACGTGTAAACAGGTTATGAGGTTCACCCACAACAAACGCTACTCAGCACAATCAGTCAGTCAATCAACCAATCACAAGCCATCGTTTAGTAAAGTCTGTAGAATATAAACTTGGTATAAGAGCAAGGGACCATCGCGTTCCCTTCAGTATAACTATAATAAGAAAGATTAACATATAAACAGTGTATACCCAATCCGAACTAAAAGAAACATCAGTGGTC